TGCTTTTAGGACATGCCTCCCCGCAATTTAAGCATTGTTGAACCACCAATCCAACCAAGCGGACAATGCGTCCTAGGATGACAAGACGTCAGCTAGCAGGGCTTCAGGTCGTGTCCTGCCAGATGCTTGACACTCCAAATAATTGATCCCTGGCGACAGAAAGCTCTTGAGCCCAAATCCGAACCCACCTCAGCAAGCAACGGTCGGGCCGGTGGGGTGACTGGCGCCTGGTTGAAGGCGTCGGCTTCTGGTTGGACGCTGAGGGGTGAGGGCCTAGCTGAAAGTAAGATCAGTGTTTCTGCTACAACGACTCATTGCAATCAATTCAGCCTACGGGTAAGATCATGCTGCGAACCCTGAAGGCCGAGATGCCCCACCACCACCGGAATGGCAGTGGATAACTCTTTCTGGCGTTAGCCCAACCTGGAAAATCACACCTGCGTCCTTCGTGGCTCCATCGTGAAGGATAGGCCATATACAAGATGCGAGAGCAGTGGCACGTTTCTAGAGAGCTTGTCGAAATACCATGGTTGAAGTCATCTCATCTAGCCGACTGCTGCTACCTGATACTGCCGCCTTGTCATGTTCTGCAGACCAAAGTGGCAGAGAACCTTCATGCTACAATAGACCTTGCAAATGGCAAATGCTGAGCAGGGATTAACATAGGAACTGAGGGAAATATTGGAAAAGTTGTGCTGTGGGCCGCTTCGGTAGGGAACAAGCCAGCATTCCATGGGACAGAGGCATAGACTGGTGTCGCTGCCTCCGGCTGCTGGCGACCTCACCCATCAGAGCAGAGAACACACATCCAAATTACCCCTGTAAGGCCACAACACTCAAACAAAGAAAGCTGAAAAGGTCCCAAGAGATCGTCCCAGGTACCCTGTCGACCGTTGAGTTTAGGGCTAAACCGCTCAGGGTCTTGGAAAAGGGAACCCCTAGACAAGTACACCTGACACGTCTGGTCAAGAATCGGCTCACATGACTCATGGAGCTTTGCCGTAGCCCGACAGAAGCTGCCCAAAACGAGAAAATCTCTGAATGCTCATTGACAGAGACGCCTGGGCTGGGCTCTGGCGTCTTCGAGTCACCTGGGCCAAGACGTGGGGCGGTGGTTTCTGATAGTCATACAAAAATATTTGATAATCCTTGCTGTAGTTGATTGGGGCTTGTGGGTCCTAGTGACGGCCGGGCAATGCCATGACGATGCCAACGACGGTCACCGCAGCGATTAGACATGTTCTGTGTGCTTGCAGTGTTCAAGGCTCTTGAGTTGCTTAAAGTGATTGCCACTGTTTTGCTTCAACGCGTTTGGGGTCGGAAGCATTTGGGTCCGACCCCCCGACTCGGTATTACGGTATAATATTGCCACATTATGCACCTTCAGCTGCGGTACTTGAAATTTCCTCTGCCCTGGCTCGACAGCTTTCAGAGGCTGATGAGGCTGGAGTTCGTGCATTAGTCTTCTTCTTGCCCCATGAACACTTCCAAGCACAGGGCTCAGTTTCTGCGTCTTCGGCAGGGCCTGACGCAGTCGGCTGAGAGTGGTGATGTTACAGCATGTTGCAGTGCACCACTTGCGGGGTGGGGCACAGGGATACCATGGGTGTCACAAAGCACTAGCACAAAGACATACGGGCCTGGAGATGGTGGCGTACCACTTCCGAGTCCTGCCAGCAGACGGGGAGAGAGAGATCATATTCACAAGAACCCCGCCCCCCTCCCCAGCCTCCCCTTCCCCTGCCCCACTCGGCCACCCGGCCGAGTCATGCACTACGAACAGGAACTGGAAACCGAGCACGCTTCCGGAGATTTGAGGCCACGTGATAAAGAGGACAGTCCCTGGGGCCCCGTTTTCGGACCTCACTTGAGAACGGTAAGCGGCCGCGCTTGCTTTTGGGAGTTGGGTTGCAGTGCTTGCAATCTCCGTGCCCAGCGTGCGCTAAGTAGGGACCCAATCGTAGATGAACATCCGACCCATCGAGTGCACAACTGTACTAGGCCCTGAACTGGCCTCCAGGATGCATAAAGACCCAGCCACCGAATTGATGATGTTTGTTTATCTGAAGCCATGAGTCGGACTTTCACTGATTGCTTTGCCCTCCACCACCGGGTGCTGGTGCCTCTTTTGGCATTGGCCGCGGCGCTTCCGGGGGCGGTCGCTGCATCAAGGGATGGTCCTTCCCAAAAGGGTTTTGCTGAAAGGTCAGACCCTATCATAACTTCGATCTGGCAGTGCCATATCGTGTAGGCATAGTTCTTACTTGAGACTCGACAGCCTTTGTTTCAGCCGCAAGCCTCTCTTAGAATGACCCGCCTCCCGGAACCTCACTCAGTATGGTCCATGTTAGGGGCAGGAATGTGCAGTGGTGGTGCAGAAAGGTGTTCGAAGGCTGAGTTTAGGTGCCAGGCTTGAAAAGGTGTAGGGGGGGGGGGGGGGGGGAAAGGGGAACTAACAGTCTCTGATTGGATGCTTTGGAAACACAGGCTCTTGGATCGAAGCAGGGTCTTGTGACGATGTCTGACTATGTCCAGCCAGACTCCTGCAGTAGGGGATCGATCTTGTCATCCGTCTTCTGGTTGTCAAGGTTTGGAAATCGCCGGAGCTCCTCCACCGGCCTCGTCTATAGAGTATTTACAAGCTGATTGTCCTCGACTTCTGATTCTGGCAGAAGGAGCCAGGACGTGGACGGTTAATTGTTTACAGTTGCATCCGCATTGCGCCCTCGGACTTCAGTTAACGATCCTAGATCAGGAGTGCACATCCAAACCATGCCACAGGTTCGTCATTATATACCAGCAGGCAAGGTTCTGAGGGTCACATCAGTCTTCTTCTTCTTCTTGTTGACTGTCCTGTTCTTCTCGTGTGGCCTTCATCTGGCCGATCTGAACAGAGCCGGGCCAGTGATCAGAACATTCGAAAGATGTGGGAGCTACGTTTTCCGTTCGGTTCTTTCGCTCCATGCATGGCATATGTATACAGGTGCAAAGATGTCTTGTCGTTCTCACTAATTAACCGGATGCATTTCGCACAACGCTTTCTGGAACATCTTCCAAGCCAATCTTCAGTGTTTTGGCACGGCAGTGGCATACTACGACAACATGCCGAGTCCGGCTGACTGTCTGAAGGAGGATTCTGTTTCGCATGCCTAGTGTACCGTTCTTTTTTGGAGAACCTAATCGCACGTTCTAGAGTAGGGTTCCTCGGCCTAGCCTAGGGAGGACGAAGTCCCGTCTGAAGAACCCTAAACATCCCTAAACTCTCGACACCGTTCGCTAAACAAACCTTCGATGGGCTTCTAGATTTTTCGGGCCAATGCGGTCGACTCTGTCAACCAAGTAACCAAAGAAAACGAGAGAACAACCTGAAGTGAAGGAACTTATAACAGTGAAGAGACCACAAGGAACTGCGAAAGCCTTCCAGCAGTGGGTTCATTGCCAGGAATGGACTCTAATCGGTAACCTGATTAGCGAAACCCAGGGAACCTCATTCAAAAAAATCTTGGCGTTTCTAGGGGTCCCCCCCCCCCCCCGGGCTGCTTTCTGGTCAAGGCTCCCCAGCAGCTGGGCCGGATGAGAACGGCGTGGAGCCGAAGAAGGAGTACCCTGACGCGACATAGCCATGTGCAGGGGAAGCAGGGAAGCATCTCTAGGATCAACCTTCAGACGGAAAGCGTGCTACGCTGAGGCTCAGGTGAATCGGCACGTGGGATTCAAGGATAAGTCACCGTGCTTGCAGAGTCTACGTTCTGATTCATGTGGGACATGTCTGAACCTTAATCTCAGATGCAAATTCATGGATCTCCACCTTCGAGTGCAAACACTCAAGCCCTTTTGCAACGGGCTTTTGGGGCAACTTGAACCGCATAAGACCAAAGGCTCAAAAACTTGAAAATTGAAAACTGATCCCGTAGAGCCTGAGGCGTGGGTAGTTGCAACGAGGTGGACTGTGTCGTCTGCTGCGTCGAGTACTGGCGAACGGCGACCTCAATTCCAATTCCACAGGTTGGCATGGTTGGTGGAATGTTGCGACTAAGTGATGGTTTGTCAAATAACTTCTGGCGTTCAACCCGAAGACATTATTTCGCATTGAGAGACTTCCGCTGCCAGTGCCAGGCCCCGGACATACTTGGAGGGCGTGGAGTACACGGAGGATGTGCACTGCGTTTGCGGCGAAGTATACGACCAGTGAGTCACCTGCCCCCCATCCCTGCAAAAATGGACATCTTCAGCGTTCGCATCCCCTGGCCTGTGGCTGCGGAGATGCTATGTATTCGCGGCTGGGACGCGCGGTCAGGCCTCGGCATCGTGAGCGCGTCCCCTTCAACCCAAATATTCTGAACTTCCATCGTCCATCAAGTCTAGAAGGAAAACTTGACAAAAGTAACTGGGCCTTTCCTTTGGGCAGCATTATGTCAGACATTCCTCTCGATCTTATGTGTGTGGGAATCAACGGGAGTTTGCAAAGCACGACATATAGATAGCTTGCAGAGGCTGGGGCGGCGAAAGAGGATCTGGCATTTGCAGGACACTGAAGCGATTAATTACTGTCGTTGGGGGCCACGTGCTCGGCTGCGACACCCAGGAATCTCCAATACCTCATGCTGTTGCCTCACCAGCCCGCTACGCCCCATTTAAGGCTCCAGCAACGTGGCTCGGGAGCTAGGGGGGGCTGTCCTGCAGTTGGCTGCCTGGGCCGCATCTATGGAGATTGCCTCTTCCGCTTGCCATCAGTATTTGCTGCCTATAACAAAAACCTTGATCTTTGCCCTGTTCCCTAGCTCTTTCTAGTTTCTGATGCTCGGAGCTTCAGCAACGCTTTCTACTAGTGCTCATTTCTTGGCATTTCAAACTCCAACGAAGTGAGAAGACAGGCGTAACTCCTCCGAGATTTTCTTCTAAGCCTCACGAAGCCCGACATGAAACCAGGCATAGCCGCACGTGCGGTGATAGCTCAGAAGCAGCACCTTGTAGGCCCACTGCAGGCTCAACTTCTGAAATCAACCGCGCTCTCTTTTTGCGGCGCAATCCAGCCGTATCCGCACAGCGCTTCGCAAGTTCGCCACCTCCTGCAACTGAGGTCCAGGGCACGGCGGGGAACAGAAATTGTTGGTTTGAAGCTTGTAACTCCAGTGCTAGTGTGGGCGAAATAGGCTGGTCATCTTATGTTAACACAAAATCTCACAAACAACTACAACTTTCGTTGTCTTCTCCTTGTGTGAACTTACTGCCTTCATTTTCGTCGGTTTTGCATGGGGGCTTCTCAAGAGGAAGGAGTATACCGAGATGAACACTGCGGGGCAAAGGCCGCACCATCCGACCCAACGCAAGGACTGGAATCCAAACCTCGGAGGTCCCCAAGTAACGTGCATAAGGCAGGCTGGTCTGCCTGATCGGATGACTCGGCTGACGACAAGCCAGGGGTCCACACCTCAAAAGCCTCAGGGCAGTGGCAAAATGCAATAGCAGTGCATTTCGCCCAGTTAGAGACAGAGTGGGCGTTTGCAGCTGCTACATGCTCAGACAGATGCCCGACCTCGGCGTGCCGCAGGTAGAATGCCAGCCGATCGGATGAGTCACTGCGGCAACGATGCCATAGCTGATAGACTCGTGGTGTGCACGCAACATCCTGCATGGCATATTTTTGTGAGCAGCGACCTTCGAAGTGTTGCCAATACTCCTCTTCTTCTTCTTCTTCTTCTCACTTTAGGGCCTTTCCCGAAGGAGAAACCCCACGGCGCAGCTCCAGTGACGACCCGTCTCTCTCTTTTGTCGCTCTCATGACGCGCATTGAAAGGGGCGCCTATTGTCGGGGGGTAGTGATCGGCAGTGCCACGCTGAAACTTGGGTCTGACGAGCTCTCCACAATATGGGACTTATGGGGCTTCTTCGATGCTCGAAGAGCAGACGTGCCAGTATGCTCCCGCTGTCCTCAACCAGGACGTAGCCCTCACCGCCTGCACAAACAATCACATAATTAGCAAGCGCGACAGAAGCTGCATAGTTTAACTGGTTGGTTGCCTGCATGGCTGTAGTGTATCCTGTGGAGGCTTCGTTCCTTCCGAAAGTGACAAATGTGGTACTGGCAATCACGCCTGTACAGGCCGTAATCGTGCAGCATGCATGATGTGTTGCTTGAGGCCACTTTGAAGCTTTTGGAAACCATCGCCTCGATGGTCCCGACTCGCCTTGCCACTCCGCAGGAGTTCAGCCATCGTCCTCCGCCAAAAGATGACTGACTAGCACCGAGGCGCAAAAAAGTAGCCATCGTGTTCAAGACCGAAATCTAGCAAGCAGCGAGGGCCCTTCCTCTGATATGTTCAAGCTTTCCAGAAAGATGGCTAGTTGCGTCTAGTTCAGCTGGAGAATCCTTTTGCCCCACCACCCATGTACGACAATGGGTCCGTTGAATCGCAGTGCGCAGCTTGCTGAAGTCTTCATCGCGCGAGCTCGCCCCCTGCGGGCACATTGCTTTTTGGAAGCTTAAGGAGGCGGCTCAATCTATACGAGTAGCCGGAGGGTATGCTGCCTGATTCGGATTCCTGGCATTTGTTTGCCCAATTCCTTAAACACCTGGCCCCCTTCTATCCATCATGACTTCTATGTGCGGGCCCGGTTAAACGAGCCAGCAGCTCCACCAGCGGGACAGCGCAAACAAAAACAGATGCTGTCAAATCTTTTGCCACCAGGACTGCGGAGCTGCGGGGAAATGCTGTCAACTCCACAAACCGCAACTGCGCAGAACGGCGGCAGCCAGTTCTTGCAATTCCTTCTCGGTTTCGGCCGCATGCTCTGACCCTAAGCCCTCTGCAATTCCTGGGCCATTGCCATGCTTTGCCTTGGCGACATGAAGCATCCGCCTCACCCCTGAAACATGACCAAACCCTGAGCCTGACGACAAGGCCCCTCGGAGCCTGAAAGGACAACACATCCCAAACTGAAGCGAAAGGGCACATAAACAAACGCTTGGAAGCTTCAACACATGGCACAAACAAACGACACCCAGAGACAGCAAGCCAAGCCCCAAAGTCGGGACGAAAGTGCCCCCCCCTGCCTCATCCAAGAGGCGTAGCCTCACCCAGGCCTGTGAATTTTCGCCTCTGTGCCATGAAGCTTTGTGCTGAAGGTCTCGCAAAAACTCGACACAACGCTACAGCAATGAAGGGTCGTGCCTGAAATGGAGTCAGCGTGGGTTCATGGGGGAATTTCAGGCGTTCATGTTCAACGTAAAATAGGTCTTCTGTCGACACTTAGATCGGATGCAGGGTTCGAGACCGAAACCTCCCTTCCCCAACAGGACTGCAGGCACCTTCCTCCAAGCAAAAGCTCTTTGACCGGTGTGAGATGAAGTACTTCAGCTTGTCTTGCCACTCCTGAGCAGCCCTAAAACAAGTGAGGGCCTTGAGGTTTTGTTTGGCTGCAACCACACAACCCTTTCCGCCTTCTCGTCTTGCTTGCACAGGCTCACAGCACACATAAACATAGTAGACATAAAAAGAACATCAAAGCATATTAAACCCGCATCGAGCTTGGCGCATCGCTGTCAAACACTGCAGCCCCAAAATCGCAAACGAATGCAGGCAGGTAAAGGTAGGCTGCATGCATCAGAGTCTCGCGCTTCTTCCTGGGGGTTCCCTTGCCCGACGGGCGCACTCCGGTGGCGCAGACCTGTTTCCAAAGCCTCGATTGAGTGGTCTTGAATGTTGAGGTCGCCTATGTAAACGGCAAGTTGGGCCTAGTGTTCAGGGCTCAAGCGAGTGCAAGCACCTCAGAGAGGAGATCACGAGACTACCACTCCTGCAACCAGCATGACTTTGCAAAGCCCATCTTGATGCCCTTCAACAGAAAGATTCCCTTCGCGAGACTCTTCGTTTATGGTGCCTGCACCAAGAATGAACTGGCGTTCAGCCCTACACTTGCATCTGCAGCCCAGCGGCTCCCTTACACGGGGATCCGTGCCGACAAGGGCAACCGGTGCAGCCTGGAATGCAGCCAGGCAGGTCCGGAATTCCATCGACAGTGGCAACGATTTGCTTTACTAGGCTTGCTTTGTCCATCTGCCTGGTCGTGGTGATTTGTAGTCTAAGAGACTTTGTCATTGCAGAGCTCGGGCTGAAGTGAGTCCACCTATACCCCTTTTTCACCCTAAACCCCAAAAAAACAGGCCAAAGTTATACTCATCCAGCAGCTCCCGCCGTCCCCACAGGCGAAGATTCGAGGAATCGACGGATTGCCACCTGAAGCTTTCGGCGAAGTCTTAGGGCCTCTAGGATTCTTGTCGTCCTGTCATTTGCCGGCAAGCTTAAACTTTAGGCACCTCCAGAAATGTCAGAAAGAACCCGGAACATTTGGATCCGGAATGATACCTAAACTACTCGACATATTCTTCGTATCCACAGGCAGAAGCATCATGTGCAACTTTCAAGAACTTCATCCATTGCACGGTGAACCCCAAGACCTCTACATGTACGGCCGGACCCCGGTATAACTTCGAAAGTCGCATCGCGCAGGCCAAAAGTCATCAATCCCAGGAAAGACAAACCTAAAAAAAAAAAATCAAACCCGAAGCAGAGGACCTGGCCACCAAACCACAAGACTACCCAACCATGACAGCCTCCAGCTCACAGCTGGGGTGACCCGAAGGGCTTGCGGCAGAATTGGCATGGCCTTTAGGGGTTTTCCGGAGTCACAAAGGTGTCAAGAAAGGGTGTCAACTCCGTCAAGCTGCTAAATTGTTCCTGGCATAAATGAATGAACGAAGAAACTAGTGAAACAGTACTGAGCACAGAGCATACTCTTCTTGCAGCGAGCTGATTACCTAAGCCACTTGGGCAAAATATGATCTCATATGCTTTCAGACGGCAGTATTCTAGGGCACAAACAAGCTAATCTCAACAACGAGAAATATCGAGTTTGAGCAAGCCGACCCCCAAGCCCCAAACTCTGCTACCTAATGCGCCTGTGTCTCCTTCTGCAAGAGGCACCAAACTCCGGTTGGCTGACCAGGGTTCAGAAGCCCTGCCGAAGCTGACCTGGCTTGAAGTGTTTAAGGTTTCAGATTTTTGTTTTGCCAGCTGCCTTGCGGCCTCACACAACACTGCCGGGATGCAAAAGGGAGCGCGTCTGGTCTCTGAATGCTTGAACTAGGGCAACTAGGGATACATGATTGAAGCCTAGATGAAAATCGAATGTACCGTCGTTAATAGTGAGTCAGATTAAGGTCTTAGACGTCAACAAAGTTAACAATCGTCAAGCGACATGAACACGCATGAACACCACGACATGTCGTATGACTGACACAAGATGTTTACAAAGCACTCTCTAATTATCCTGACTTAAGATGGAATGCCATGTCCTTCCTTACAGTTTCATTGAAAACCTCGACGAACAAAACACTTAGGTTCAAATGACATTGCATTAGTGCTCTTTGTTGGTTTCCTTTCGTTGTAGAACTGCATTCGCTTGCTTGACCGATTTGTAGGGGATGCGTGCATCATTGTCCGCTTTGCTTCTCGCGCTTTTACGCCTTTGCACTTCGCATTGTCGTTTCCAAGACGGTGTGATCATGGCGACTGCAAGCACACAAATGTCTGACAAGCGTCGAAGACAGCCCCAGCAACGGCCCTTTCGGAACAAAGCATGGAATCAACGCCTCCACGGCTAATCCAGGCCATGCAGTGCGAAGCTGGCGCATGGCTCCAAGACCTGAAAATGCAACTCATTGCAATTCTGATTCCAAACACGCTGGATGCCAAAACTTGCACCGAACACGAGCTGCCTCAAGCAACCTGTTCCGCGATTTGAAGGTATTGGGATGATAGTTCCCGAGCCTACACGCATCCAGCATCACGAGAGTCGTGGATCGACTCCCCCAAGAAGGGACCAAGTACCTTAACCTGGTTTGGATTCGATGATTGGGGGGTTGAGTTTAGATGGATAAGCTACCCGGTGCTAGTGGACCGCGACACCGTGATGATCGGCCAAATTCTTGACAGAGTGCAGGACAAACACGGCGCTCGCGTCGTGTAAAGGAACACCTGCGAGAAAAAGCTTGGGAAATGAGCTGAATGGCACAAGTGCCACTCTTCAGTGCCGTATTGGTTGGGAGTTTCTGCAGCATCAGCCCGGAACACTCAAGCAGGAAGCATCTGCAACATCAAGGACGCACTAGCGCCTTGCCCGAAACGTCGTCTGGTGTAGCAGCTGTTTTGGCAAGCTCCGCAGCCAGCCTGCTGTGCTTCGCATTTCAAGGTCAAGAATGTGAAGACTGCAGGCTTGTTGTGTAAAGACTTTACAAACCTGTATATGTGGCAAGATCCATGAAGTTCCCACCCACGACGTCTCTGGACCTAGGTACTCCCTTTAGAGCTTCGAGTTGGCCTTCTGGAGCCAGTTGGGGTTCGGGTTTTGGGACATCGCTTGGCCCGCCGCCCAGTTTGCAGTACCTGGGACCTAGAAACTGCCAGGGCCTTTGAAGGATTAACCACGGCTCAGGCATGACGGGCATCAATTATGCTGCAAGTTTGTGCCTGCTGAGGACCTGGAACTCGGGACGAAGACCGGCAGCGTCGCGGCCTGCCTGAATGAATACCCACTGACAGACATTGTGCTGCTTGGCTACTTTGGCGCACAATGCCATGGGCTTGGGCTTAGAGGCTTCGAAGGCACAGGGCTCTTCCAAGCCATTGTTTTCCAAGCTCCAGTCTCTGCTGAATGCGAAGTACCATACCATTTCCGCAGGAATTGGGCTGGGAGACTTTGCGGCTCGAGATAAACATCGCTGCCCTGCTGCCACGAGTTGGCCGGGCACCAGAGCAGGTGCCACACCAGCTGCGCTGCCTCAAAAGTCGGGCTCAGCTCCTTTGTTCTACGTGTATTGGTCCGATGGTCTTCTGAAGAAGATGCTACAGACCTGCAGCTACAATGCTGAGTGGACATTCTGGACACCCTTTCCTGATGAGCAGAGGCCGCTTCACTTTCTGTGTTTGTTTTTGAGCTGCCTATGTCCTAACTTTGGACACCGAACAGTCTTAACCCTTCCCCAATTCGTCTGTGTGGCGCAAAGTTCACTGAAGTTCTTATAAGCCCTATACAGAGCACAAGTTCGTGTGGTGTGCGGCTCCCCCCTTTCGCTGCTTAAACCTGGCACCTTCAGGAGTCCCCAGCTCTTCCTCGTCGGAGCTCACGTCCACTGGGCTCTCCACATCAGTCTGCGACGCGAAGTACAAAGAAGAGGCATGAAGAGGAATGAAGGGGACATGAAGGGGAATGAGGGGGGACATGGAGCTTCAAAGACCATATTGAGTTGGGAATCTGTGCTGCTTTTTGGTCCGACTGCCAAGCATGGAAGCGCCCTCCCCGCCCCCCCCCCCCCCCCCCCCCCCCCTCCCCCCAAACTGCCTCAGTGCCCTCAGCTTCAACCTCGGACACTCAAGCCCTCGATTTTCCGACCCTGAACTCCGCGGCTGCTGCCTTTGTCATGAGGGGCAGTTGCGGGTCGCCATCTTCGGCCGCATACTGGAGGATGACCTGCAGGGCGAACGTTGTTTAGGCAGCGAGATAGTCTGCTGAGTTTACTCGGCGCTGTCTCCGGTATCCGAGCGACTGAGCGACTTTGGGTACACGCTCCGAGCAGAATGCCCTCGCATTGTGATTTCTTGAAGGCGCCTCGCCAGAGCCGTCTGTTTGGCCCGATGCAAGCCTTCCAGAGCGTGCCGAAGGGCTGAAGATCTCGAGGCTTCTCAAGGTTTGAAGGCTTCGAGCGTTTGATGGGCAAGTCTTTCTTAGGCCCATGGACTTGTGAGCAACAACACATGGCTGAAGATGCTCAAGAGAGACCGCCCTTTGTGCAGTTGGCCCAGTACACCATGCGCTACACGCCAGGCAACAGGCCTTATCTTCGCTTGTAGCCATGCAGCGGCATTTGGGTTCTCTTCCGTAAGAAAGGCCTGAGGGAGCTCGGAAAGCTGGCTTCGACACCTACAAACAAAAATGGCTCCAGGATTACTGAAGAATGCACTCAGAGCTCTGGCCTTGAGCTCCGGCGGTGCGCCCGCCACCTGCGCAGGAACGTTGGCGGGGCATGAATCCGAAGCTTGAAACGGAAAAACGAACCCCTACAATGCAAGGCCTACTGAGGAAAGCTGCGCACTATCGTGGTCGCCTCGCGTGGGCGGGGGGGGGGGGGGGGGGGGGGGGCATTCAGGACCTGAGGCTCCCCCTGAACCCGCGCACCGGGCAGTAAGCCAAGCCGAGGCGTTGGGCAGCCGGCACGGCCCACGCAGGACCTGAAGTGACTAAGCGGTTGAGGGCGACAACTGTCTGAAGCTCGAACAAAACTCTGGCCCCTGGATCTTGCTCAGCTGCGACCGATAACCTTTAACAGAGTCTTCAAAGCACACGCATGGAGCTCGACCTGTCCACTCAAGCCCATCTCTTCGGAGGACGGCTCTGTAGCGCTGCAGAACCTTGCGGATACTTTTTGTCGATTTAGTTTGGGAGGGTCAGGGGGTATGGAAGACTGCGTAGATGAGGCTTTGCGGCTTTGAATTCCGATAGCAGCCCTGCCGTTCCCCGGCTATGATAATGTTGGTTTCCATGGGGGGTTCTTTCTCAAAGGCAGCTGTTCTAGCAGGGAGCATGTTTATACCGTGCGGACGTGCACGTATGCTTAACCACGGTCCCAAGCCGATGCCAACACTCCAAACTCCTCGACCTCGACATGCGACTTCCGACTGCAATTGCCGTGAAGGCACTGAACCTACCGACCCGTATCCCTGAACCTCTTGCCAAAAGTAGCTGTTTCCTGCATCAGATTTCGTCGGCTCACGTCTTCAGGGGTCGCATCCTTCGTGATGGCGAATGAGGTTGCAAGGGTCTAGAAGTGGTTCATGCCAGTTCAAATGGCATTCATACCAGTTCAAAATGGCATGTGGCACCGTCCCTCGTTCAGCGATGAGTCTAAGAGGTGATCCGAATTTCTAGCAGCCACAAGTATGTGCAACTAAGCCTCAGCATGTGCTTCAGGAACATCGCTGATTCAGGCGGGTGACAAGAGCGAGGCGGAAAGATTGCAGCACGGGTTGAGTTGGGCTTCTGAAGCTACGGACCATGGCTGTCAGACCTGATGATGTAGTTCTTGATTCAGCTCTGAAACAAAGGTCCTGTTCCTCCTCCGGCTCCAAGAAAGTGCCCAAGGCAGCCATGGTGCCGACCAGGAGATCTGCCTCCGTTGCGAGCTCCTCGGGCTTCGGTCGAACCAGGCAGACAACAATCACCACAGAAGGACTAAGTGACTAGGCAAAAGGCTTGAGAACGACCCAGAGTTCTAGAGGGCACGCTTTCGATGTTCTTGCATGGGCTGCCGTCTGGTGGAAGAAATTGAGCCAGAGTCATGCGCCCAAAACTTGTTTTAGCCATAGCTGCTCCTTGCAATTGGTTGCCTAACGATCCACCACATCCCGGTCCCGAAAAAGGAGGAACTAAACGCCATGCATGTGAACAGCCGTATGATGCCCACTGAGTTTTGCGCACTTACTTCACGCAACATATAGCCTAGCTATGTCCCCCTCCATGCCCCTTCTGTCTGCGGAAGAGGTCGCATCCACAAGTGTCGCCACCCATACCGAAAAGGGCTGCAGAAGCTCAGAAGTCCACGGCATCTGCTCGCCTCAGCCCGGGCAAATGCTCCTCCTGAGGGCTAGGACAGGCAACTTAACTTGAACACTCAGAAGGAGACGAGATGAAAGCCGTAAAGCTTCATAAGCATGAGCCCTGGTGCGGAACTGTTGAACTGCAAGTACACTCCGCTGCACCCCCCCAGCGAAAGAAAGGCCATGGTGCCGGTCTCCTTCAGCAGCGGGCAGGGCAACGCCGAGTTAGCCAGCCAGAGCCACTCTTCCCTGAGCGAATACTCTGCCAGCTTATACTACCAGTTTTTTCTTCCAGTCATACTACCATGTATTTTGCGAGCTCCAGTGACCCGTGTTAAGCGTGGCAAACTGACAATTCAGTTAGGGCTTGGGCGTGGCACCCGTTTTGAAGGAGTCCCGGTTGGACAACGGACTTCCGCAGCTTCATGGGTTGTTCAAGGGGAAGGCCGCATGTTGGAGTTGCAAAGGCCGCCAGGACTCATGCTCAGGTCAACTTCCTTTTCCAGCTCTTGGCCCGGCGGCTTCTTGGCCTGCAACACGTTCTGTCAACACGCTATAGATATATACATAAGTAAACAACACATTTACTACTGATTATTTGTATTTCCCTACTTATTTTTTATGTGCTTATACAGATCGTCTTCTCACCTGCGACGAAGAAGTGTTTCCAGCATCTGCACCGTACACATCGTGCCACCCGTCGAATTGTGAGCCCGTTTAATGCCCTTCGACTCAATTCTTATTACTTGCCTTGCCACAGCAAGATCGACGACAGACTGGCTTTGTGATACAGTATTGCTTGATTACTAAATAAATCAAAAGGTCAAACTAATTTTGACTCCGAGCTCTTTCGTTGCTCCGAGATCCACAGCTCTTAGCTTACTGTCTTGAAGCAAATGCTTGGCACAACACTACTCCGCCTGCATGTGCAGCCAAACTCCAAACTGGCTCATACCCTCGATCACCAGGCCCCGAAGCCCCAATGAACTCACTGGCGCGACTTGGGCGACTTGGCTCAAAGCCTGTGGCTGCTTTTCGACGCTTTTCGACCCCTAACTTGCCTCCACGCCACGCCACGGAGCATGTCCGGGCCACCGAAGCTTGACGTCTCGGAAACGAGACGTCCCTGATTGAATCCTTGCGTGCTCCACAATTCCCACAATTCCACAACTCCCACAGCCGTGAACTCTGCTCTGCTCAGTCATGGCCAGCGCATGGATGTGAAGCAGAGTAGTTTTGGAATCGGGCTCACTCTGGCCAGAGCGAAAACACTTGTCCATGTGGCTTTCTTTTCAACACTTGTTGAAGTCAATGCACGAGTCCTATGGCTGAATCAGACCTCTTGGAATTCAGGCGTGCTAGCAAGCACATTCTCAAAGTCCAGTGCAAACTGGCATAATCACAAAGCAATGCCCCCGATTGACTGACAAGGTGTCAACTGCAACTCCAATCTTGCTGATGGGACTGAAGCCAGCAATCATGATGGGCATGTGTGAGAAGACCACTGAATTCGACCAACCCTACATAGCTGAGCCGAGGTCGTTTGCCGAACTTCAGTGCCATCGGCAAGGTCTCCCTGAATGCCATGGAGTCGCCAAAGTGCCAATGTCAGCCTCGACTTGATTGGAGGTGTAACATAGCGCACCTCACGCTTTCTCTCTCTGGTTGTAGGCTTTGCAGAATACACCAGGCCTTGAGCTGTCGGGTGATCCCTCCGTGCAACACCAAGCCATTAGAACTCAAAAGCAACATCAGAAGCTCTGGAGCAAGGGGCGCAACTCTACCCAGAACAGTTTCTGCCCAGGATCTGCTAATTGGACCATTGGTGGGCTCATGGCGGCACAACCCGGCCAAGGCTAAGGTGTACGCTCGGCGCATTGCTTCCGAGCCGCAGTGGCAAAGGAAAGTCGGCCAGCCGAGAATGAACCTGCAGCTTTGACGACGTATAGGGCCAACAGCTTCAATCGCATTCTCGCAACGGCATCATCTCATCGTCATCGTCATCGTCATCATCATCATCATCATCATCGAGATCATCGGGTCCCCAATAAAACGTGATTGTTGTTGTGGGCTCGAGGTGCGGCAACTGAGGGGGGCTGAGAAGAATGCCATACAAACAGCTGCACATCGGCAGACCTGTGCCAGCGGCTAGCACAAGTAGTGTTTAGGATGACAGAATACGTTTCGCCGTGTTCCCGTTGTGAAAGCTCGTGCCCGATGCTCCGGAAGGCTTGCTAAGTTGCACAACGTCCCAGTTTACATCATGCTGCAGCAACTTCGTCCTTTGGAGGGTCTATTCGGGCAAAGCACCAGCCGCAAGAACCACAGCTGCTCCTCGTTCAGTCGCCTGCCGCACAATATCATGCACAAGACTTGGTGTCAGAACCATTTCGTCATGCTCATATGGACATAGCTTGGCTTCTGCTTGCAGCCAAACGCAACTTCCAGTGCACTCTTCCCACGCAAAACCCCCATTAAACCCTTCAAAATTCGTCTCGGTATTCCTCTGAAGGTGCTCCTGGGTCGGAGGGTCTGGAGGGCCGTGAGCACCGCCAGCATGTGCGAAGGCGTCAGGTCACCGCAATCCTTTCAGGTTCTGACTTCTCGAGCGTGAAGCATTGTGCGTGAAGCATTGTCAGTGCCTTGTCAATCTCAGATGCCGTCTCTTCACATGCCTTGCAATCTGAGCTCAAACCCTCCGCCTATTCTCTGCACCATCGGCAAACGAGGCCTTTTGAAGCACCTGGAGGCAGCAGCTCATCCTGGGCACCGATGGCACCGGATGGGGAACGTTTTCAAGTTGACATCAAGATCTGCCAAGGATCAGCTGCTGCTCCTGTTCTACAAGAGTCCATGCAAGCGCAGTGCATAGTTTCTCGTGCTTCTTGTTTGCTTTTGTTGTGCGGGGGGGTGGATGCAACGCTCTACACACCCCTGTAGGTCTGCAGGCAAGCTGCATGCGATTCTGCAGCTTGCTGCAGGCCACCAGGGCACGCAGCAGGGAAATCACCTCGTTCAAGCATCGGGAAAAGCTTGGTCCCGGAGAGCCGTGCTCAGCAAACATCTTGACCCTGTACTCCGTCCTATAGCAAGCAGTGTTTTCTCACCAGTTTGTGCCTTGATTTGCAAACCATCACAGCTCTAGGAACTCGATTTGCGAGCAAGCTGGGTTAGGGCAGGGAAAAACATCGATTCCGAGATTCCTGAGTGGCGGAAAGTGAACGACAATGCCTGAATCTTGATGACTGATGATGGTGTTTTTCTGAAAGCGGATTGGCGGTTTCCGACACGAGAGTCTCAATGTCCCGAGAAGTGAGCGAGACCCTCTCGGATTCGTGGTTTCTGAATCCGCGGCTATTCTGACTCGGAGACATGTCCATACCTCACGGTCAGTAATTGCACTTCGTTAAGGACTTCACATCTGGTGTCTTGGGGGCCTCAACCCGGTTCCCTGCCTCCACCTTGTCTAACTCGAAGTTCGCACGGCGACTGAGGCGCCCGGAGCTTCGCTCGAGCCACAGCTGCAGGGCCTCAGCTGAGGCTTGGGCTCAGCATGTCCTTGTCCGACTGCCAGCATGAAAACTTTCGATGCGCTCGACGAAGACGGCGGAGGATTCAGGATCTGCTGCGTTAGGAAGGGATTGAAGGGATTCCTCACCAATAGGCGAACTCCCCGTCCCTTACACCTGCTGTTCTCAAAGAAGCAGCAAGAGCCACTACTGAGGACGTACCAAGCTTTGCAACACCAACGATCTCAAGTGTATACAGAAACTCCCAGAACGCGTTCTACACGAGACAACATGCAAGCCGACAGTTTGACAACCAGGACTACGTGAGAGTCAAGACAGCAGTCCTGAAAAGAGCTCGAGCATTTCTCTTGTGAAGCTTTCTGTTTCTTTATTTATGTGTTTCTGGAAGAGAACGGGGGGCCTGGGTCCTGGATGGTTCTTCAATGCTTCAGGGTCTTCAACCATGGAGGAAGCATCGCTACAGAACAAAGTCCCTTGCTGATTGCAGGCTTGTGCAGCTCTGAGGTCTTGAGGCCACTGTGAGGTCTGCGACGAGTGAGCGACAAAAAAGCATCAAACCTCCAACTGAGGGCACTGCTCGCTGATGCGCAGGGCCGATCATCTGCCGGATCCGTGAGAGCCTTGGAGTTGAACATCTTAAGTTGCAACCATGCTGATATGCATTTTCTTGCAGCAGCCATGTGCCGATATGCCACTCCGACACTTCCGACTTTCCCTTTCTGGTCTGCCGCTCACAGCAGTGACAAGCCATTTACTCGAGAGCTAGTGACAAAAGTGACTAGTGACTAGCTATAGTGGGCTCAAGCCTCAATGTACAGGAGACCGAGACGAAGGCGTTGCGATCTGAAGCACGTGCATCGCGCAAGGCTCCAGATCTCAAAAGGATGTAAACTGCAAAGCTTGTCTCAATACATGTGCCGTGCAACGAATACAGCCAGGAAGCGCTGATGCAGACGCGGCGAAAGAAATGGCACTCTCCCCTTGGAGCTTGAGTTTCCTTGACAGATCAGAAAGGGGTCCACGCATGTTAGCTCCCCAAACCGGCCGGTCCTGATGCGACTTCATACCTTGTGTCTCCTTTCAATGTGGTAGTTGAGGGTTTCGCATGTTTGGGATTGTGGAAATCGTGGTGGAGCAAGCAGGCACTCAAGTGCATCAGGCTGCTGGGATGGCCATCGGGCCCTGAAGTGTCGTGTAGTCGAGGCACATGAGATGGTTTGGGCTTGCGGCTTGCTAAAGGACCAGGAAAACCTGTTTTTCTGTCCAAAGATCGGGTCACAAAGGAGCTGGACCAACCTTAGCTGGTGCCGTGTATGCCCTGACAGTATACATCAACAGCTTGTGAAGGCTTGAAGTTGCCGACCACACGGCGATGTGTGCAAAAGTGCGAACGAGACTGCCAACAGATGTTCATCCAAGTCATGCTATGCTACGCATCGTAGCCAAACACTTGATCGAAAGTGCAAAGCTTTAAGTAGGGGAAGTTACCCGAGCGAAGCCGGGAAAAACATCTCATTGGCATTAGGGGCCTTCGCAAGAAATAGAAATAAATGGAATCAGTAGAATGAACAGATGTGGCTGGTGCACAAATTGCAGGGAAAGAACTGGACAGAATGGAGTGGAGCCATCAAATGCACTCCAAGGGGCGCCCCGAGCATGACACGTGGCTTCTGCATTCCGGCCCAAGCATGTTCTGCGGCCTCTCCGAGTCGCAACAACTGGATTTAACTTCGAAGAAGTCGAAAGTCTTGGGATGTCAAATCCCTACTTGGACAGATACTGTACCGAATCGGCTGCCGGGATTTTCGGCAGACCGTACTGCAGGCCAGGATCCGAACTCTTAAATGCACGGCCTGCGCGTAGGCCCAGAGCAAGTTGGCGTGTTCCTGTGCCTTGATGGCACCTCAAAATGGCCGGAATCGGGCAGAGCGGTCAGAGTTCACGAGGTCGAAGCCGACTTTCAACGTCATACAAGTAGCTTCAGTTCTTTGAAGACGAACCAAAAATCTTGATCATGCCAACAACGTGTTGACATGAAGTGACTAAATCGTCGTGATCATGACAGCAACAAGAATCATGTCCACAGCGGGTGCAGGTGCACGTTCCCAAGTGCCGTGACTGGGGTGCGGACACTCTGAAGTGAAACTCTCCAGCTGCTTGGACGCACTCCTCACTGTTGCGGCTAAAGCTTGGAAAGGTCTTTCAGCTGAGGGACACTTCGGGATCTTTTGCCCGCAGCATTTCAGACAAATAATCCCAACTATCGTGTATGGATTTCGTCCGCCCCACGCCATGCCTGGCGGTGAGCTTTAAAGGCCTCATGTTGGCAGATGTTGGCAGATGGAGAGAATCGACTTAACTTGCCGGCGGCGTGGCTGGAACTGTATGGGGATCTGGGAGATCAGGATTCTTGACTTAGGTCCATGCGTAACAGTAACCATAGCCATCGCCAACGCTTTGGTTTCTGACGCATTTTCGTGGATACCGCAAGATGAGCGGCACAGAAAATTAGGAAACTAGTGAGCGCACCGCCTGCAGCCCAGGGTCTTCAACAGCTGCCGGGTTACCTTGTCGCTTGGCAAGACCCTGCCAGCAGTGCTGTAAACGTGTGCAGGTGTCAACATGTGGTAATGACTGCATCAGCTTCCTTTCGTCGCAAAGTAGGGGTCAGCTACCCTTGAGCTACAAAGAAAACAGCAAGGCCGGCTTCAGTCACCAGAAAAGCCCGAGCCTGGCATAGGACCAGCAGATAATGGACACATGCGACAAGAAGATTCCATCCCACCCTCGGCACTTAGCAGTGCAACAGGTGTGCAAAATGTGTTTTGTTGCATGTGTGTAGCTCTGTCTATTGGGCAGTCAAGATTGTGCAGCCCCGTGGCTTGAATGCCATGAGCGGTCGACTGGGCGGACTCGCCGACGCAGGTAGTCCTTGCGCGGTGGCGTCTTAGCATGCAGCGGAGCCGTACCGAACGCATGGCGTCGCAACCCGATTTCCGAACCTTCTCACCTGTGGGCAGCAAGCATCCCCCCAACGGATCTCTGAATGGGTATAGCCATCGGCTCAAGCGTCCGCCAGTCGACAGAGAAAGTCCCTCGAGCGGCCAGAGGCTTGCTGGGTGCCGTGCCTTGGGCGGATAAGGAGGGGCAAGTGTAGTCTGCAATTGCAGACCGAAAGCACAGGCTCGTGCCTGCATGTGTAGTGTAGGACGATACATGAACCTCTATTACGTGATTTCTAGGATCCATTTGCTGGGTATCCTGGCCATAGGCGCGTGGGCCGACGTGAAAGCATCAAAGTGGCCATGCACTTCCTGGTGGCATCAATCTGCATGGCTCCGCGTATTGGGCACGCTAAAAAATACGCTATAAGCACTTCAAGCTTGTGTGACTTGTTATGGCTGTTATGGGGAGGTCCTGAAGCCAACAGCGATTAATCTCTGCACGAGTTGTCAGAATGTGTTGATGGTTGATGCCGACGACACATCAACAATTCACATGGACGTGCCTGGAATTAACGGCTTTCAGGGGCTTCAGACACCGTAATTTATCTGCAAAAGAAACGCTATCACTCAGCTCGTACGTATTCCGCAGTCTGTGCTACCATCTATACGCCATGGCCCGAATTAACTCTCATCGAAGCTTCGTCTAGGCCAAAGCATCATCCAGCCACCATCCAGTCGAGGACGCCACACGAAGTGAATGAAACAAAAAGCAATGGTGGGAGGGTGGCCCCATGCTGGAGCATCTATCTTTTTATGAAGCCCGAAAGATGTGCACGCTGGAGCTCGCGCTCAAAAATCTGGAGCACAAACTTTCTCCAGCACCAAGGCACAGCCGGGCCAATCCCCATGCACTGGTTGCCAAGTGCTGGATCTCGGCCTCCTTTGCATGGAGGGCTGGGAGGAGGAAAGGCATGAGGATTTGGACGTCTGGGTCTTGTAAGGGAATTTAGCAATAATATCTCTGCCCTTCGCATGGTCTTAAGGGCACCTGGGAACTGGAATGAGTGTGCTTCAGGGTCCCGAACAGTCACTGTTCACTGGCGTCGCTCTTTCCTGTACTTTTGAAGCCTTTAAGGTCTTTGCCATTGCGCCGCAGGGAGCACCTGCCCCGAAGCCCCAATTCATCATTCAACCCCTCATTCGTATCTTCTGCTTCGGCTCTGGGTAAGGCCCGACTGACATCTTTGCCTCGCTGAAAGGTGTCGGCTGAAGAAGCCTCTAAATCTTCCAGACCAGGAACAACAACCACAGAACAGAACTGAATCTAGCAAAGTCCTCAACTTCAGCCCCCTGCTGTGAAATCCAATGCCCTTCTGACTTCTTCCTTGCCTTGCACTTTTCATGTCGGCAAAACCATGGCAGACCTTTTAGAAACCAATCCCTGTAGGGACCCCAACGCAGGGAACACGGAAATCCGGGAATATAGTACCCATATAGTAGTCCAGGAATCTTGGGAGCCTTCTGCCTATATTTCTTGCAAAATGCCCACCTACCGCTTTCCTTGGGCTTCCCTGTTTCGGGGCTCCCATACTCGGATTGCCGTCTACCTCTGTACGAACCCTTGACTTATGTTGACTTTCATCCGAACAGCCCAGTTCTAGATGAGGCCTCGAGAAGGTCGCACATGCGAGTGCTGAGGCTGGCGAGAAGAGCTCCTGGCCGTTTTCGTGCTGCAAGTCAAGCCGGGGGCCGCTTCCATGACTATGCGGAAATCCCGACCCGAAACGTCCCAAAACTATTCAGCCAGGGGCTCAGGGCCTTCGGGATCGAGCGTAACATCTAACTTCGCCAGCGCCCACAGAGTATTCGCGACCTGGTGCGTTGCATTGTGATTATGACAGGAGCTCATTCGAAGACTGCAGGAGCCAGAAGCAGTGTGGACCCCACCGCAACAAGCCCTGCAAGACGTTACGGCTGATGCCTGGATTTCGCCATCATTTGAATGAGGCCCCTGGGGCCCGTATTGCTATCTGAGGCCATCTAGACATCTAGCCATCTATCGGCCTGTGCTGGATCCAAGCTGCGTGTTGCGGCAAGGCAGCAGGCAAAGAGCCTGCAATCGCAGGCTCCAATCGCATCGCCAGGTCCTGGAAAGCCTGCGCTGCAACAGAACGAGTTTTCCAGAAGATAAACCTGCAGTTGGGGCGGGCGGGGAGCATTCGCCGTCTTGCGACAGACCACTCGAAGCGGCCACCTTGACACGCAGCCCACGCCAAGCACCCGGACACAAAGTCGTCAGCCTCGTCGCCGAAGCCACCTTCGTGGGCTTTCGCCATGCCTTGACATGAGCGGCCAAGACGTATGAGGCTTTGTAAATGCAAGAGTTCAATTGCATGTCTACCCTCGCATGTCTAACGCAACTTCTTGAGCCACAACGAGTGCAAATTTGTCCTGAACTTCAACGTTCGCGGTAGAACTCCCAAGTTGGAAATACAGGCTGTCCCAACTCAGCTAGAAACCCAGAAGAGATCTGAAAGATCAGTCCAAACCGTTCAAGCGCAACTCGCCGAGCAGCCCCACAGGATGTTGGCGATTGCTTGGGGCGAGCAGCTCCCTTCTCGGGGCAGCCTGGGGTTTAGGGCCAGGTTTTGCCATGCAACTGTCGCTAGTTTTTGGTAGAGCGAACACATGCGCTCTACCTGTTGGACGGCTCAATGCTTGGCTCACCTTGATAAGCAAACTACATCGATCTTTTGAACTCCGTGGCTTGACTCTTCGTTGCGATGACTGTAGTGCTGAAGGCTCCTAAGAAACCTTAGCACACTCGGCCAATCCAAGTCAGGCTTCCGGGCTTCCCAGACATGACATCGCGATGTCCATCGCAAGACAGAGCCCCACAAGCTTGCATGCCAATATGTTCACATATCAGTCTGCAAAGAGTACCCTACCTGCGGCACAGGTGCTCGGCGAATGCACTCACCACATGCGCCAGCCAATGCGAGGGATTGAAGCCCAAGGTGGCTGAAGCCCAGGCAATGTTACCTTTTTGGCAACTGGGGGAGCTCTACGAAATGCTATTCAAAGGTGGAGTAGGTTTGTATCTGGAAGATCTTGTAATTTAAGATGTGCAGCAAGTGGTGAAGTGCAATGCGCGGAACGACCGTTGAACGCTCTCTATGTGGAGCGCCGGCTGCGAACTGACGCTACTCACTTGCATCCGCAGATTTGTTTTGTACATATGGGGCACCACGTCCCGACAATCAAGAATTAAGAAATGAAAGGTGAGTAACAGTTCCTATTTTCACTATTTTTGGTTGGAAGCCTCAAGCCCGAAAGCCAAAAAACCTGGTAAGCCTTGAAGCCTTCACCAAGCACAAAGCAAAACACAAAAACCCCTTGATTGCAACATCTCGCGGCTCAGAAAGAAGGCCCCAGGGCCCAAGCCAGCCCCGCCCCCCCCCCCCCTCTCCCCGTAATCCTTCGGCTTCTGAGTTACTGAGGTCCTGCTCCGTGCAGCGGTCCAACTTCGACCGGCCCAGGCGCTCAGCGCCTTCTGTGGAACCGAACTGCCTATGACTGAGAAAATATACTGATCTACTGTAGAACCTCTGCTAAAGGTTGTTGAGCGGGGCTTAAGGTTTTCGGTTTGTGGTGCTGGTGTTCCGAGTTCCGTGACACTTGTCTTGCACGGTCTCATGGTCTAGGTTGAGGCGTACCGCTTTTGCTTAGGGTTTCTCAGTGCTTGTCAACCCAAATCATCCGAAATCCCTCGACAAGAGAAGCGTAGGTCAGCCAACCATGTTGACACGGCAAGGCCCACGATTAACACTGCAAAGCGTGAGTTGTGCGCCACGAAGATGAAGTATACAACAATCCCACGGCAGGCGCCCCATTAAACTGTGCGTCGCCCGCCGATGCACTAGCTCGGGCTGCATCTATGCACAACAATGCGCTGAACGCGCTGGCTGATCAAGGTTGTCTCCACAGACACATGTCAGAGGCACCTGCATGAAGCAGTGCTTTGCTCGATCTTGGCATCTGCGGCACTCTGAGCTCTCAAGGCATGTGCTTGATACTACCGCTGGGACAGGTGCCATCACAAGGTGTCTTCAAGGTGTTTTAAGAAGGAGAGAAGCGGGACATGCGCGCACAAAGCTGAATGCATTCAGCTATCTGAGCAACCCGAGAGCATCTGTAGAGCTACACTTCAATGTTGTAGGGACAGGAGCGTGCGTCCATGCTCCCCCACACACACACAGCGGCACATTCTCCCTAAACACGAGTTGCACGGACCAATTCTATCTTGATTTCAACAGTTTGAGTGGACGGCGCAGCAGTTAAGCCAGCACCCTATAGTTCCAAGGTATTTGCGGGGAATGCGTCCGGGGCCTTCCAGGAATGCCGGCTCCCGCCAGCGAAGGCTCGCTGCAGCCCAGAAACACCGAGCGACGTCGCTGCTCTGCACGTCTGACAGGTGTGCTAATAAAAAACATGCTCAACATTGACATGTTAAACTCCGTCCGCTTGCAGCTGAAAGAGACACAGCCTGAGATTTCAACCGACCTACCACGCACACATCCCCGAAACTGGGTCGAAACAGCGTTGTCAAGCAGCAGCCAGAGAACCAGCCACTTTTTGATCTACATCCTATAATGACAAGCCCCCGAACCATCCCCCAACCCTGAACCGTCAGCCCCTTCAATTGACTGTTGTTCCTAAAGCAAGGCTCCTCCAAAGAACCCAAACTCCAAACCAGAACATCCGCATTTGGGTTATCAACAGCGACTCTACCGACCTCCTGATGCCTCAGAGCTGGCAACCTCAGGCGTTTCAGCGTCCAAAGTGACAGTGCAACAGATGGCATACCCTGCCACCCTGAAGCATGTGAAGCCCTGAGATTGCAGTCGAGGAACACGTCGGCTAGCAGCCTCCAGCAGTGCCGCCGGCGCCTGGATAGGGTCGCATCGCTCAAATTAAGGAGATGGCCGGAGAAAGCCTCAGGATGGCTCTAATATGGCTTTGTAACCCTCGGTGGATGCAGGGCCTTGCACGTGCTCACTTGAGTTGTCCAGGTGAACCTCTACACATCTCTACATCACCAGATCCCGAAGTAACCCCAGAATCTGGCCCTCGAATCCAGTCGTGCCTTGGCCCTGCAACGGGCCGTCGACCAAAGCATGCTGGCCTTGGGGCAGGGTATCGAGCTCTATGCAAGTGCGCTGTCGGGGAAATTACAGGTTTCGGTTTGCTGCTGCATAGTGTGTGGTTCATAGGGCCTCAAGGCTTCGTGCTTCAGGTTGACAATTGGCGGGAAGCTTGGAACAAAGCATGGGACAAATCCTGGCATGCACATCCAGGGGCATCGGGAAATGGGTCAAGCTTGAGCTCGGTGTCAATATAGCTGTCACTGCAAGAGCGTTTGGGCGAGAGCTTTTCTTGCATTCTCGGCCACCGCCCCGCCGAACCCTGTAGTTTCCTTACTATACGCCACGTAGAGCTCCCGAAGGAAGACGACGCGTGTGCTAGTGAGGCGCAATGCTTTCGCCGAGAGACCCAGTCGCGTGTGGAGAGCTCTTCCCGATCTGGAGCCCCCTGTTCAGATCTTGGGCAGGCTTTCGGATTTGTGGGAGACAGTGCTTGGGTGCAAATTATAAAGGAGAACGGCGACTGCTTAGCAAATGGGGCAAGGCAATAGACAGAGGTTTAGAAAGCAACAACAGAAGCCTGACTTATTCCAGAACGCTTGGTCGTTCGAATCTTGTTTTGGGGGTGGCTGCCAGAAAGTCAAGCTCGTAGCCAAGCTTGCAGCAACCATCGAACTCATGTCCTCCCCAACTATTGAAGCCCGCTTCCGCCCTATGAGACATATGGTTCTTGGGCCATTGTGTCCTTGTTGGTGCCACGCAGTGCAAAACAACAGCAACGCGGCACGATGCAAACTGTAGAAGATGGACCCTGCCAAGCTCCCTATCCCACAGCCGTGGTACACAAGGTGCTGCTGGATCGGTTTGCAAACTATGCCCTCAGCACATGCGAAGTGTCATCTGAGAGTTGTTCAACAGTGCTTGGCTTTGCTTCAAACATCCCCACCCCAACACCAAGCTTTTCTGCGGGAGTCCCGGCGAGGACTGTGGCTGAGCTCAAAGTTGGAGCAGCCCAAACAATTCACACGTCATGCATCTTCAACCTGCATGCGAGTTTGGTCGAGACTTTCTCTTTGACTGAGAGCTTCCGTGTGAAATTGATAGCCGAAATTGATAGCCTAGAGCCAAACCGCTATCCGATATCCCAGCAAAGGAGCCCTATAAACCCTGCTAAGCACAACCCTCAAGGACTCATGCCCGCCTCCAGAATCTGCTGGAGCACGGCCTCCATCCGCTGTCGTCGCGCCTGCCGTCCAACTAGTCAGAGGTTTGCGGCGTAGAACGTAGAAGGTGCAGGCCCCAAGCGAATCCATGCAGTTTTTTGGCAAGCGCCCCCCCTAGCGCTTTAGTGCGAAACCGAAACCTGCAACCTTGAGCATCAAGGAGCATCATCTACGTGCTACCATTCAACTCCCAATCCTATCAATCTCCGATCCCTCCCACAAGTTCTGCATCCGGGCTCCTCGGGCCACACCGAGACATCGCATCCCGAGCCCTCCGGTGGCCGGTCCTGAAGCCGCACATAGACTTGTCTTTGGAGGATTTGCGGTGGGATTTTAGGAACGTCGGGGTTCATAAGCCTTAGCACTTTAGGGCTTTAAATAGACTAATATAGGCATTATAGAAGTCACATCAGAAAGCTTCAGGATCACCTGTTGAAGTCATCTTCTATCATCTTCGTTTCGGCGCGCCCTTGATTTGGTCACGGCTCGGCCCGGGCCAGCAGAACTGCGGCTCGCAGCAGCCCACCTAAGGGTTGTTTTTTTAGCCACAGCACTGCGGGCTTCGTTGGTCGGACTTGGGAAAACTTCAGGTTTTGTGGCCGCCCGCCTAGCTGAACTGAAACCCTAAGGTTTCAGGGTTTCGGGTAAGAGGCAAATTCGGCAATGCCTAGCCCTTCCTTGATCCACCAGAGTGAACTGTGAGCTGGGAGAGAACTTGGATCTTCTTAAGAGCTGCTCTGGCTGCACGCTTCGCTGTGGCCACGCACAAAAACTTGAAGCGCTGTCACAGTAGGGCTCCGAGCTTTCGGGCAGGCGCCGGAGGCTACGCTGCCAGGCCGATCCCAGGACACCCTAAGAAGGGTTAGGATGGTTTACCGTTCAAGATTTGCTACGGATTTTAGCCAAGCACTGCTGGGCTACAATTCAAAGTTTATTGGGGTCTTTAAAAAGAGTGCGTGAGAGGTTTAATCCAGTGCCAGGCCCAACAGAACACCCATGCTGCCGAGTTTAGGAACACTGTTCTCGCAGTTGAGACTAGTAAGGTCCAGGACGGCTGGCGGTCTGCTAGCGTGTGTTGGAAGCCAACGCAGCACTCAGCCTGAGGCAATCCTCGTGCTGGTGTGGTGAAAAGCCCGCCAAGTACAGTAAATCATCATGTCAATTTCCCGGCGTATGCAAAATGGCACCATCTGCTTGCGTGCAGAACTGGGTCAGAATCCTCACTGAAGATGGCCCGCTCCCAGGTTGGAATTGCATGAGGTGCCCATTTTGAAACACAGGTGCTGCTTCAGGTCTGCATGCGGTACTGCTCGCTGCGGGTGCAAAATTTTGCCTATGGTTTATCCTTCCCTTTCCCGAACACGGCTACAGCAGGAAAACCTTCATCCCTGACCGAACACTTGCGTCTCGTTTTCTGATCACTACATCGCCCCTGTCTGCTCACATCCACACAAACCGATGTCTTATTCGTACCCAAGTACGAGTACCCCAAAACGGGCGGATAACAGTGGGTGGCATATAGATGCATAGATAGATAGATAGAGACATAAGGCATTCCAGTGATGACAGAAGAAACGTGAGTGAGCGCAGTTGGCGAGTGTACAGTGTGCAGGAGGTAACCATGAGCTTGGCATGGGTCTGGGACGAGACTTACAAGTGCGAGCCACAAGCCATGTGAACCCCTTAGCCCAAAAAATCCTTGTAAACAGAGGGATAAGGTCACACCTGCAGCTCTTTGACGGCCATGTGGTCTGCATGGCCATGGCAAAGATGGGCTCCGACGGAATTTTGTACAGGAGCTAAAGGTTTGAGGGGTGAAGGCCTGTGGCCTGAAAGGGTTCGGGTTGGCTCGAATAGGCTGGCTGCTCCTTGGCAACTTGGCAAAGTTGAAGGGCTTGTGCCGTGAAGCTAGCAGCTCAAGGCATATAGAGCCTTACTGGGGCCTGAGGGGTAAAAGAATTGAACAGAGTTTATATTCGGGCTTAGGGCATCTTGAGGCTGAGGCCCTCGAGCCAGGAGCAACGATGCCAGCAGTCCCAAAATGGAAAGAGTGCCTCTTAAAAAGAGGTCGTATAAGACTTGAAGCAACTTCGCGGGCGACTACATCTGGGGGTATCTAGCTTCCATCACTTCCATCTACTCGAACACACTCTCAACCTCAATCTCTAAATCCTCAACCTCAATACGATCGGCTTTAGGATTCTGACAACTCTACCTGGCCTTACAACTGGCATCGTGTCTCAAGACCCTCGTGGCTTGAAGCCTATGTGAGGTTCCTTCTCCGAAGCACTACAACTCCAAAATATCGGAGCCTAACACGTCAAGAAGGATAGAATGCAACATCAAAGCTCCAACACGGCTCTGCAACGGAAACCCAAACCTTCCTCGAAGGTTCACTAGATTTCCGGGTACGTGACAGCCGTTGAAGGCCCCGAAGTTGCTCCGCCGCCTGCTGCGCCAAGGCGTGGGCCGCCTTTTGCCAAGGATTTCTCAGTCGATGCCCTCAGTCCTTTCAATAGGTTTGACTTCAGGCTTCCACAGCTGAGTTCGAAATCATGATGGACTTCTTCCTTGCTCGTATAAATCCTTTGATGCCACACCTGGTCAAGCTCCCCGATGCATTGCCAAACCTAACCCTCCGGCCGCCATCAAACTCCCAAGCAATGGCAAACCCCGCACCCTTTCAGACAATGTGATCAAGCCTCGGAAAGAGAAAGACAAGTCTGCAGAGACCCTATATTGCGGAGCCTGGGCCGCATGGACGTGGACTTGGGCAGTCTGGGCCTGGACTCACTTTCGACTTCAACTGACTTCTGCGAGAAGAGTCGTATGCGGCTGAAGAGGAGGGGCTTCGAGATATTCGCAGAGAGTGCACAGATTTTGTGCAACTTGGGGCTTTTTTCAGGCTTTCGGGGCAATGGTGAGCATTGTGTGACGACGCTTCCGGCTTAAGCCTGATTTTCTCGTGCCTTGTGCGGAGCCTCGCCAACGCACCTTCCCTTATACCGAAGCTCAGCAGGCCGATCAGCAGCTGAAACAAAAAGGGGACATGCTGACATGCTGAATACAACCCGGGACTACCTGACTACCACCCGTGCAAAAGCAAGCGTTCTTTTGTTGCGCAGCTCACCGGTCGTCGGACAAGCTCCCAGACGGAGCCGTCAGCGGAACTAGTCCTGAGGAAGCCATCTTGCGGCCATGATGTCCATGTTATTCACCTCACAAGCAAAGAAGCACAGCCTCCAACCTCAACCTGCGCCACATAAAGGGGTGTTTTGTAAGGGCCTCAAGGGTCTGGAACCCGCTTATCACAGCAATTGGACAAAGAGTCGTGTGTTTAGGGGTGTCCTGTCTCCTGTCCCTCCAACCGCTCCAAGTTGGTCAGAGCTGCGGTGAAGCAACCCAGAATCCTTGGTCAAGCTTCGTTGGGGGAAATCTCGGACAGGATGTGGGTAGCATCTGTTGCTCAGAACCTCAGCACGTGGAGCAAATCTCTCACCAGGCGAAGGTCTTACCCGACCAGCAGCTATGTCGGCATCTGCTCGGCCAAAATTGAGCTCCAAGTCCCGAAGCGCCGAAATCCTAATGAGACGACCTTTGGGCCCTGCAGCCCCAAAGCACGAAAATGAAATCCCACAAGCGCCCTTTCGGGACGGGAGGCTGCTCCGGCAGCTCTTCATCAACCTCCAAGCGCACTGCAAGGGGGCTTCGAGCTTTCACAAGCTTGATGCGCAGCCGAGTCAAGTGGCAAAGCGACTTGAACGCTCAAAGAGTATCCACTTAAACAGCGTTTGCTGAGCTGTCACTGTCTGTGCTGCTCAAAAAAACCTCCGCGGCGGAAGGATGCTGCAGGCATATGTGCATACATGTGCAGACAGCATATCTGCATGGCAATCAGGCCTTCCCCTCCAAAAGGTATCCGATTTCCTTGGCGGCAAAAATCTTCCACTTCCAGGCCGCCACGGCGAGTCGCTTTGCTCTTACTTGACTTGTGACTATCTGGTCGGAGGTGATGAATCAATCAAGAGCAGAGCTGACGCTTCGTTCATGCGCATCCACCAACACCTAATCCCTACATTGAGCTCAGGCTCGACCTCGGCCTCTCTGGCACGGTGCTGATAGGCAGTCATGGCAGTGCGCGTGGGGTAGTTCCACGACCGCACGTCAAAGTCCTGAAGCGCGACGGGCCACTTCGCAAAATGCAGTTGCAGAGTTCACCCTCTCGGGAGACAAAAACAAGGGATCTCAAAAAAGAAGAGAAAGGGATCTCAGCTGGAAGCAAAGACACAGTCCGATAACTTTGCAAATGAACTGCCGTAGCTTTCGGATACCCCCCCTGACAGGCACCAAGGTTCGATCTCCAGGACCTCAGGTAAGCCTTTGCTGTAGACCTGGGCTGTGGGAATGGCATGTCCCACCTTACATTTCTTTAAGCAGCATCAGCCGGAAGCCCCCAAAAGCACAAATCGAAAGAGCTCCCATGCATTGAGCCGCGAGGCCGTCGCACTTCTGGTCAGCAGAACTGGCTTGTTGTTGAATCCTAGGTGCCCGATATCGACATTTCATCTCTGACTCTGTAGTCTCTATAGCCTAACGGGTTCGCGTGTTGGGGGAAGCGGGGCAAGCAGGGACATGAACTTGGGCATGCGACGGTGAAAGCAGACAGGCTTCACTTCTTCACGTGAGTTTCCCTTTTGCGAGCCCCGATCACTATCTTCGAAAAGCAAAAAAGAAGAACGATAAGACTGATGAAAATGTGAAGCAAAATGAAATGCCTGTTGCCGGGACCATTCTCTTGACTTCAGGGCATCCAATCCAAGGATCGCTTGAAGGACTCCGGCACTTGGTGCTTGTCCAGGTCTTCGACTCGACCAACCACCTTATCAGCCAGGAACGTGCGGACAGTGCGGGCCCGGATTCACAGGAAAAGCCCGGGTTGCTTAAGTTGGGCGCTGCGCCTTTGGTGTAGGGATCCAGCTACAGTTACAGGCCTGCGGGCTCGAGCACTCCTCATACCACAAAGGACCCCTGCAATCCCGAGAGCACGTCGGGGATTGATTGCTGCGTCTGACTGTGTAAGGTTCCTGGCTGAGGAGATCTTGTTCACTTCGATTGCATCAGGAGGTTCATGTGCGTAGTGAGTCCCACAGGATGGGGGGGGCAGAAGCTCAAGCCCCAACTTTTCGGAAGGCGTGCAAAGCTCTGCGGTGCCTTGAGGGAGATGCCCTCCTTCGTCGACTCGCCCTCCTAGGCAAAGAACAAACTGTGCCTTGTAACCGTATTGTAACCTTTGCTTCGGCTTTGTTGGCAAAAAAAACTGCCCCACTCTCCGCGACTGGGTGCCTTTTGCAGCTCAGCCTGGATGGTTGACACGCTTCGTTTCTCGCTTTGACAAATACGTTCGCACTCCACGAGCAGGATACGTTCGCATGCGTTAGGCCAGAAGCGCCTGTAGTAGTATGAAGTCATGATTTGTTTGTGTTGCTTCTGCGGCCACGGCATGCAACATGCAATGCTGTGGGCGCTGGATCCTCTCGTAAGCCCAACGGGCAAGTGCAGCTGCGGCTGCAAGCTCTTGTCGTGGTGCTGTAGTCCGAAGGGTTCAAGAGGGTGCTCTCACCGTATGCAACATTTAGGCCGTATACACTGCAAGCCACTTTCCCCACAGACGCCTCCACAAACCGCTGGAAGAGCCGCAGTGCAGGGGTCCTGCAAAAAATGGCTTGGGCTTGATGGGTTCGAGGGCTTGAGGTTTCCAAGGTGAGAGCGCTCACACTTGTGAGAATGCACTTCCGATGTCCAGTGTGTCCCATCTGAGGAAACCAGGTTGCTGCTGTTCGATGCTTTGCGCAGTCTGTCACCCCGACTTCGCACTTCCTGCTTAAAGACTCTGAAACCTCAACTCTCATGAGCTCGCTCTCTTCCCTTCCTTCTAAGTTTGCTGCCTATGGCCTAGGGATGCAAAACCCATCCAACACCTCAGAACAGGCTGTGGAGCTCGTCTGAGGTCGGGGCGGTTGTCCCTCTGCCAGGAGCGATGCAGTCTGGAGAAGCAATGGGTTCAGCATTCTAAGGCTTTTCTTGAGGACGCATTGAGGGCAACATTGCAGGCTCGGTTCAGGGCATGGCCCTGTTCTCTTATGTAACTGCACTGGGGGGGCAACCTGTATATGGAGCTTGTGTAGTCTGAGCTTTCCGCTACATCTGGAGCTCTAGCCCTCCAGACAAAACAGCACTAGGATGGCTTGCAGGTCGGCAGTTGCAAACACTGCAATGTACAGCGTTCGAGGTCCAGGGTTTCTGAGCTCAAAGCTCGATAACTGAGCATTAAGGCGGAAGGTAATAGCCGCAGGGCTGAAGCCATTGTGCGGCACTCATACAGTATGTATATCTTTACATATATGCACATATATGCTTGTTTACTTATTCATATTCTGTATGTCTGTCAACACACACACGTATTTAACAAGCTTAAGTACATACGTAGACGAATAAACACACAAAGATACAGATCTAGACATATATACATATATACTTGTTGATTAATTGATTGTTTTGTTTCTTGGATGTGTACTGTACTGCCCACAGCCTCACCTGCTGGTCTTGAGGTTTGCATTGTGCCAAGCGGGAAACTTTCAATCAAAACCTCATCATCGGCGTGCTGTGGGGTTGACTGAAGAACAAATCGCATGATGTGTTGTGGCCTACCCAAGCACGTTTCTCGAAAATTCACATCACTGTGGGGCCCACCACCTACTTGCAGAAGATTACAAGGGCCGGCGGCCAGCCGTAGGTAGAGGCTTTCAGCTGTGAATAGCATGCTACTAGTACGATCTCCAATCGCCACAGTGGACTGCTTCAACTGCAGGTCTTGCTGTGTTCTCATTGCTAGAGGGTGATCTCGGGAGTTTCCAGCGGGAAAATTCCCAGCAAAAATCACGGGGATTTTTGAGGGTTTGGGATGTTTGGGGTTTCCTTGCGGCCCAGAAGGCCTGCTGAGAGATGACGAAGTAGTTGAGGATACCTGGCATGTTCGGCGACATGGTGGGCCAGAAGCCATACTGTGGCGTTTGCTGTTCCCGGTCCCGGCGCCGTCCTAGACTCGGCAAGACAATGATCAGGTTGTTGTGAAAGACGGTGAAGGTTCGCTTGGTTGTTGGTTTTCTGAGGTTACTTGCAGCACCCCTCGGCACCCCTTGACCTCGCTCACTCTTCTTGCAGCCGCATGTTGCAAGCTCCAAGTCTGGTAAGGAGCATGGAGCATGGAGCATGGAAGACAGGGCGTCGGCCGTGCGGCCATACCAAAAATAATAGAAGACTTTGCCAGCTTCAAATTGGCAAAAGGCCGATTAAGAAACGATAGCTCATTGTGTCCGAGACTTCTTCGCGGTAGGTCCACACATGGACTCAGGCTGTAGCAGCTGTTCAACTTCCTCACGCTTCAAGAAACCTTGCAGCAAGGGGCATGGGGATGCAGAGAATCTCAACAAGCCCCAACCGATAACCAGAAGGCCGGCAGCTGCACAGAATGTGGTGTCCCTTGTGAAAACGACACGCAGAGACCACAAAGACTCTGGCCTTCTGAGAATGTGTTGTGCTGCCCTGTGTTCAAGCCACCGGCATCACATCCAAAGCATCTCGCAATCCAAAGGTACCGTGGCAGTCTACGTGCAGTGACACAGTGAAGTGATGGCATTCACGGGTGAAGGGTCATCTGTTTGCGTGCGTTCTACCACATCGCGAAAGGGGCATGCGACAGGGAACAGAGCGCAATTCTGAAAGATAAATGCTTTCCAAGACACCGAGCTCCACAATGATGTCCGCGACTGGGCGCTTGTCCTGGAGCTCCAGTCAAGACGACTCTTGCAGTGGACTGGCCCAATGCCCGCCACAGTGCGCACAATGATTATGTATGTTGGGCTTCAGCACCAAAACATGTATGCTTATGTCCATTCCCCCCCCCCCCCCCCACCCTTTCTCACCTGACTTTGCAGATTTATGGCTGTATTCAAGAACCTTTGCTTGTCTCTTCTCATCTTCTCCACTTGCTTGGCCTCTGCGGCTGCAACCTGCAGATGCTGATTTCCCAAACATAGGCAACCGCCTTTCAAGATACCAATGGCTTCAGCCCTCAAGCCAGCTTAACTCACTCCGGATGCCCAATGGCCTTCACAGCCATGGCGGCTGCTTCCGTGCACTTCTTGTAGCCAATGTGCGGGAGCAGGGCCGTGACGACCCCAACACTGTTATAGACCTCGTTTCGGCTCTCACTCCACCCTGTTATATATAGTCGACGCAGCCATTGAACTTCTTCTAGAGTACCGCATGCATCGACATCAGTGCGACATCAGTGGCTTTTATCCTTATAGGCAACCGTTGTGGGCTTAAAGGCTTTGGACCGTGCAGGAAAACAAGCCTGCACCCGGAATCCTCGACCAAGGTGCCATGTCCTTGCAGTGCTCTTTGTTGGCAGTGATCCCCTCGATGCAGTGGCTTCGGAGAGTGTTGATGCCTCGTGCGTTGCACCGGAGGTTTGCACGGTGTGGGCATTCAGGGACTTGCAACTGGCCTTTTTCCCTCGGCCCTTAAAGCATCCCAGTTGAGTGCGGGCAATTGGCCAGAACGCGTGGAGCAATCTGCTCCCACAATTGAAGAATCCCTCCAGAGATTGAACACGCATCCCGGAAGACGTACTCCAGTAGCCACGGTTCCAACGCTTTCGACTTCAACCATGGCCTCGCTTCTTCGAGTGATGAAGCTTGGCGACAAGTGGGAGAACTTACTAAAGCCATGAACCAAACTAGTCAACTCCCGTGCTGTGCCGGAGCCCCTGTGCCTCGCCCAAGCACCCTCAGCGTACTGAAGAGCTTGTATATGATGACCTAGGTTGCGTCAAGGAGGTGCGAGCTCAACCCGCCTGGTTTGTCCGCAGCCAGGCGCCAGCAAGATGAACTGATGGTTGGTATTAGAAGAGTAAGCACGCTTACCATGGCATGCATGTCTCTCACGTGCAATCCGACCTGTCTGACTCCAGCTGTCCAACCTCTTTACCCCACAAGAGCCCTGAACCCGTGAGCCCAGAAGCTGGCTCCATGACATTCAGCTCGAGCTGACCAGCCTGCGGGACAATGGCTTCGTGCGGTGGGAGAAGTTTGAGGACCTCGATCTGTCACATTGTGGCGCCTCTGCTCCAAATGCCACGGTCACGTCGTTGCCGATGGCCTCGAAGGCACACCTGGGACGGCAAAACAAGAGAACACTGTGATGACCGTGCTTTCTCTTCCGCTGAAAGTCCCTCCATGTGTTTTTCCTGCTCATGCTGGGGGTCTTTTGTCTTTCTCAAACTCTGCCAGCAGCATACTGGGGTACACTGTGCGTTCTTGTTCTTTCTGTGTTTAAGCCGTCGAGGTTTGTTACGCTATCAGGGTCGCCCTCTCTCACTCTGCAAGAGACCTGCCGGGGGTCGCCCTACAGTAATAAAAGATGATGCAAAAGCATGCCGCCCGAAAGCCCTTTCCCAAGCGCCAGAGACCTTCTCTTCACATTGGTGTGGGTACTGCGGGCGTATTGGTTGTTTGGGTGGCGTGGAGGGGCGAAAGGCGCGGAGGGTGAGAGTGGTGTAGAAGTGGTGTGGCCAGGATGGCGCGAAGGGTGTGAGGTGATGCTTTTGGTTTCATGGGTGATGTGGATGGTGTGGATGGCGGGTAAACTGAATTGCTGGAGAAAATGTGTGTGGGGGGGGGGGGGGGCCTGAGTCTTGAGGTGGGTGTGGGTGTTGCAGGCGGTGTCTGTGATGCAGACGGATGGTGTGAGTGTGAATGCTATATGAGGGACAGGGCGCATGTTCATCACCTCCGGAATGACGGGGTTGACCTGAGAGGCATGTCTCCGAACAAATGGGTTGCTGAAGGATTGCATGAAACGGGCACAGTAGCTGTAGCTCATGTTCAATTCCCACTCTCTCCGCGCAGTTTTGTGCCCGAACACGTGCCCCTTCAGTTTATCCGAAGCGACCTCCTCTTCTCAAGAATTGCAAGCAAAAACACCTGTGACATGCGCAAAATGCGTGAAAATTCCCCAGCATCATACAGATTAACCCCGAATCAAACTCGCGCCTTTCCCGGCATGATCGAGGAACCTGCAAATTGGACAAGCAGCACAGCCACATTTTTTACCAGTGCGACCCTGAACGGATCATCCCACGCTCAGGTGAGCCTGGGGCCTTCGGTGGCAGATTGATCTCTGCCAGTCCACAGCGCGGGCCTGTTGGTGCTGGGATTCTCTTTCATTCAAAATGTTTGTGCCTAAGGGTTCCTCCTTTAATTTAGGGCAAGATTTCCTTAAACAAGGACTCTACTCATCCAATATTGGCACGCCCGACTAAGCCGATTGGACTCGCAGCTTGAGCCCACAAAACTTCTAGAGCCATCCCGCACTGCAGAGGAACTATGGCAAGTACATGCAAGTACAGTATGGCATCCCCCCCGGGCCTGAAGACAACAGCCGGAGGTCGTTGCAAATCTTGGAAACCTTGGCCTCAGTGTCCCAGGCCATTCCGGGGGTACTTCTATGAGGATGCCTGAAGGTCTTGTAGCCATCTGAGTATCTACATCAGAATCGCGCACATGCCACAGCAATTCCACTTCTGTCAAAGCTGCGCCGACAAGATTGTCACATGGCCAGAGTCTACAAACACAAGCAAGCACAAACTTTGAAGGTGCGAGCGCACCGGGACCTGCCGGTGGGTGTCAGCGGGTGAAATTAGGGATGCGGCGGCGATGCGACGCAACATGCCAGAGAAGTAGATCATGTCACCTCTCAGCAGACTCATAAGGCGACATTCATGGTTTGGCTTAAGCGTAGACTCGAGCCGCTAGAGCCAGGCCGTTGGATCAGAAAGTCCTATATAAGGGATGGGTGGGAGGGGGGTGTCGAGGGAATCTTTGGGAAGCTTAGGGAGACGTAGAGACCACTTGGGAATGCAAATGCCCCTGCGTGGCCCACCTACGCTGCTCGAAGCTTCGATAAGATCATCCGCCAGAACCATGGGAAAGCCGGTGACCGTCCGCAGCTCCTGCCGAAGAGTCAAAACCCATCGACCTTGAACCTGGGGCCTGAAGTTTGTTGTTTCCGTACGTCGGGCTGGTACAATTTTGTCTTCTTTGGTTCGGGTGCAGCTGCCCTTCTCTTGCATCTGAGTCCACTTCGGTCCCTCTTAGTCCCAGCAAGGAGGGTTTGGATAGGTTGAAAGTCACCCATGCAGCGTGCTGTCTGAGGAACTACAAGTTCAAAGAGCAGCGACACCTCATCAGGATTTTTTGAGAAAACAGACAGACCCCAACAACAAACCCAAAATCCCAGCCCGGTCACCCTTGAAATCCATTAAGGCTTCAACCCTCACCTGGACGGCGATCTGCGAAAAGTGCGGGTCTGCAGCGATCCCCGTGCCGATGGCCGTGCCGCCAAGATTGGAGGTACAAAACCTTTCTTGCTGAAGTTTCACTGGAGTTTGTTTCAGCTTGCAGCACTTCAGTACAATGAGCGACTTTATCTGTGAGAATTGTTGGAAGTGGGGCACCACAGATCTGACGGTGCTGCGTGCACATTCACTTTGTTGCTCACTTCCGCACGTTCCCAGGCCTATTTCATGCCTCAATGCGGTTGGGGTAGGGGTGGGTTATCTTATAACCAACTGAATGAAGGGACATGGTCACTCAGATGTAGTCTTTGGATTTTGGAAGTCTTGGCGGCGTTTCGGCGGCTGGCCGTATCCTGAAACAATGCGCTGGAGCCTCGAACAACCTTTGGCCAACTTTGGCCAACTGCACTCATCGAGTAGCCAAACAATAGATCCAAACCCCGTGCGCTTCATTAACCGTACTTGAATGTTGGCGACATGCCTCAAGTTCACATGTCCAGGTTTTCTGCGGCTCGCGAATCCAAGGGGTACAGTGGGCAAAAAAGCTTTCTTGTTCAGGTTTCCCTTTGTCAGGCTTGCAGTTTTGATTTTTAGTTCGTGGACCGGTCAGCGATCTGGCAGTTGTCTCGAAAATCTGCAGGACCAAGGAGCCGATTCGTAGCGTTGCTCCTCAGTGGCAGCAATGCTCTCTGCACTCGGAGCTCCAATACAGGTCAGGTATAAGATTGAAGTGCAGCCGGCACGGCGACTGCAGGACCCCAACCCGAACAGACTAGGTCGGCAAAGTGTCAACGCCTCGATATCGCTGGCCACACTGTTCCCGTAGGCCTGAAACTCCTGACGTACGGATAAGGCGCTGTGAGAGTTTTTGTTTCGGGCTGGCGTGAAGGTCTTGTCTCGCACAATGCGGTAGCGCTACAAGTACCCGCACCTACTGTTGCAACTTGGTTTTAGCAGAGCTCAGCTAAGCCCCCCAGCCCTACAATGGTCTTAGCGGAAGTCTCCCGCCCCAACATGAACACATCCAGGGTCGAGCAAGGGAAAAACTTTTCCAAAGGAACAGCTGTGACTCAGTGTGATTACGTGGCGCAAGAGTGCAAAGGTGCCAACCTGCTCTCGGCATCCCCTGGACCAGACAGAACCAGATTAACCGATGAAGCCCCGCACACGCAGCCCCCTTCAAAGTGACGGGCCTGTCCCAAAGTCATGGGGACCGCATCTTGGAGCTGCGTCCGGCCCATCCTCGGTCTAGGGTTTGGGAGTACATCATCCAGGATTTCATTGCGGAGATTCAGGCAAGGCGGCCATGCATGGGCCAAGCAAATGGGTCTGAGTACAGAAGCTAGCAAATCGCAAAACGGCCAGCCCTCGAGGCTCAACAGCTGAGTGCCAAGTCTCTCCGCCCTGTCCAAACACAAGGGCAACCAAAACAGGAACTTAAGAGGACCTAGACCTAAACCCTGTGTTTGATTGCTGTCTCGGGTTTTGCCCCCCAGCAACAGCGGGGCGGCGTCAGTGAAGACCCTCCGTTTGTGTCCCCCCCCATCCCTGCCCTGACCGCTCTCATCACTACCCCCTGCCCACCCTCTGCTTACCCATCCTCCTCCCCTGCCACTTTTTCTCCAGCCACTTCCCACTGTGCAACAGAACCCACTGGGCCACCAACCCCTTCCCCTGCCCCCCCTCCCCACCACCCTTCCCCTTCCCAACCATTCCTCTCCACTTGCTCCCCCCTCTCACCGCTCTCATCACTACCCCCTCCTCTGCTTACCCATCCTCCTCCCTGCCACTTTTTCTCCACCTCCTCCAGCACCCTCCCACCACCAACCCCTTCCCCTGCCCCCCCTCCCCACCACCCTTCGCTGGATGCACTTTCTCCTTTCGGCATGCGTGTGTGTATACATAAAACTGCTTGCGCAGCAATTTTTGTCCTCACCATCAGCAGCGGCAGGAGAAAGCTTTGAGCCTGACCGGCTGCAACGGCGCCCTGCCAGCGCCAGTGTCGGCGCAAAAGGCAGACCAACCGTTTGCAGGCTTGCCTTCCAAGAGATCGACGTCATCGCATAGCGCACACACACACACACAAACCCTTGCGCGCAGACACAAAGAGTCAACCAGTATCATCCATACGGCGGATGGCCGGACGAAATGCCTCGCGCGGCGCCACCCTTAAGCTGCTGAGGACGCTCCTCCCCGCTGACAGCAACTGGTGCATGCTTGATGCTGAAAGTGATTGACGACAAGAAACCCAGAAGTGCTACCCGCCTGGCACAGGTCCACAGAACCTAGAACCGGGATGTCCTCTTCGTCCATGACTGGCGAATGACAGAAAACAGGAATAGCACTTGCAGCACCAGGCATGCTGCTCATTCATAAAGTAGAAGCCGCTGTATGACTTGTGTTCGCAAGACATCTGCGAGCAAGGAAGTGTGCAAAACTCCTAGGCGCGAACAAAAGACACCAGCGCCTCACGCTCAACGCCAAGCAGTCAACATCAAATCACATGTGTCAAGTGATAGGGGAGAGAAAAGGCCTCTTCGTTTGGGCCTGCGGCATGTCTCTGTTCCAACAAGTTGCGCAGCCTCGACCGACATCTTCGCAGAAATAATTCCACCCAAGAGCTCCCAAAGGCTACTTCCACTTGACCCCGCGTATGCCAGAAGCAGTGTGCTGGTAGCGGCCGATGCGGAAGGCCGTCGGCGAGCCGTGCGATGTGGCCATGACCGGAGGAGAGGTGGAGACCAACATTCCAGACACGCAGCCCGACGAGGCGTGCGGTAACGTCATCGTAATGTGTAGCAGAACCGTGTAACACCCAGAAGCATTCCTGAACCTGAAGTTAGAAGACTCTACGCAGAAGATGATAAGTTTGCAAACCGCATCGCCGCAGGCTAACATGGAGTAGAGTCCACGCTCATGTTGAGGACCGTTTCTGGATGTCGTTATGCTTCGAGAGATTCCGGTGGGCAGATCGTGGGCCTGGCAAGTTGCGATTGCGAAAGTGCTGCATGTCTTGCGGTCTTGCGCAGCACTATAGACTCTTCTTCCGGGCACGAACTGATGATTCTTGAGAAATGCTTTGTATGCATGTTGAGGGCAGCTTCAGCATTCTCTTGTCAGGATACAGGGCCCAGGGATCAGAGGCAAGCAGCGGTAGAATTAACAAGCAGCCTTTCCATGCAAAGTACCAGTCAAGACGTCCATGAAAAGCTGAGTATGAGTCCTGCTGAGGATCGGGCAACCGTCTCAGAAACCCTTCTGGCCCTATGGGCAAATCTTCGCAGACGTTCAGGAAGCTCCACGTCAAAGCCGGAAGAAAGAGAGACGCAGCCATGTTGAACACACTTAACAATAGACCTCGACCTTGAACTCTTTTGGGCATCGTTTGGCCGGCACATCAACATGAGAAAGAGCCACAATTGTTTCCGCAAGCCAAGGCTCTTCACATGCTGGATCACGAACAGTCCACAATTCAGAGCTCCGAAAGTCTGTTGCGACGGGAGCCATTCGCTAGTGCGAGCGCCAATCGCAAGCCCATCAGCATTGACATCCGAAGCCAGGTACCTAGCTCTGGACATGTCTGACGTTCAAAGATCAGGCAAACAGTACTGTGGCCATCCTTGACGTAAGACGCCTGATCCTGTCAGTGGCCAAGTTTTCATCAACACTTCATCGTCACTAGCACGTGCGCTACGTCAAATCCACAATGGTACGCATCATGCAACTACGAGGGTCTGGGTTCTCGACGTAGAGCGCACAGAAGCAAGTCGACGTGCTTCCCATCCGCGCAAGGAATCTTTGGGGCTGTCTGATAGTTGCCCGCGTGCTTCTGATCTACGGGGGGATGCAACGGATGCCGTCAACGGCGTATGATATCGCCGTGGTGGCGGGTGTGCCCGAAGTATCCCGAAGTGGTGAAGCTGGATTCCTCGCATGCATGGGCGCACCGCCATCGACATGTCAGCACTTCCATCCATGAAGCGGACAGATTGGTGTGGGCATCATTGCACAAGGAAGGCCTTTCGCGGGTAGATGCGGCTGGCCTTGTGGCGCTGGCTGCTCCCTTGACGCGGTTCTCCTTTGTCCGTGTTGGGGACGTCTTCCGAGAGGCCGCTTCTGGGTGAGTCATTTCTCCCAGGCAGTCCCAGGCACTTTAGGTCGTCGTCTGTTTGGCGTTCCACAATGAATATGAAACGGCTCTCACGTTCGCGCCCTGTTGTCATCGCTTGTTCTTTGGCTGAGAGCGCCTATGCAGATGAGCAGCGCGGGCCTCAGGCCCGTCTTGCAACAGTCGGGTATGGGTAACGTCTTGACCGAAGGAATGGCGGAAATCTTCCGTGTCTGCAGCCTGTTCGTCACGTTCAAGCCAAAAGCAGCGTGTCCTTCCCAGCGCTCACTGATGCTAAAGCAGCTGAAACTACACCTAAGACTTACCAAATCCCCCGTGGACCAGCCTAGAGGGGAGACACCTCGGCTGGTGATGAGCTCTCGGAGCGTTTAGGGAAAGGGCTGCCTCGTCTTGGCATGAAGTTGCCTTCCTCTGGCACCTGCGTGTGACGCCGAAACAGCCTGTGACCAAACACAGCCCCACGACCAGTAATTACCCGCCATACATATATATATATATATATACATGTTATCCCTGGCCTCCCGCCCCGTTCCAATGCCTGGGCAAAGGGGGGAATCAAGCGGATTAGGACTTAAGACTTTAAGCGTCTGGACATTTTGGGTTTAGTTTGGGGTGTTGGGCTTGCTGACTTCGGCGCTGGGCATGGCGACAAGCATGGCGCTGCTCTGGGCACAGAGCTCTCAGGGACAGCGGAAACCACGAAAGCAGAAGGCCTCTGCAGGAAGCTGAGAGACAGCTGCAAGCAAGGTGCAATGCAGCCCTGGACCATTTCTGACCTGGAGTCGGTCACCTCCGTGATCTCAGCCTCGGGATACGGCTGCAACTTGGAACGGCGTCCATTAAGCTTCAGTTCAACACATAGCAGCCTAACGCCACTCTCTGTCAAGCGCACGTGGCCTTGTCTACACAACACTTTGTGGTGGGACGCGATCAATCCAGATTGGGCCTAAAGGATGTAACACAGGGAGAAACACAAACCCAACTCCTAAAGGTGTTGCCTCAAGAGGTTTGTGCGCCGACAGCACATGGAAAATGACAGTGGCCCCAGCCTTCGGCGTGTCGCCACGATTCGCGATCCGCTTCTTGGCCTGGCTTTCCAAAACGAACAGTACTGCCACAAGCAGTTGTCCATTCCTGCTTCCGGCCTGTTCCGCAACCCAAGCCTGAAAAAAAACATCACACGTGAGATTTGTTGCACTGATCGCTGGCCCAGTATGCTCTGAAATTGGGCACCCCTGCCTCCCAGTGGGCCACCAGCAAGGATACCTGGACCTGGACACGCAGTAGGGACGCAATTGCATCCTGGGAAGGTCACCTTGCACAGCCAAGGACCCCACCACCATGGCAATGTGCAATGACCTCGAGCTTGACTCAAGTGTGGATCACACCAAACACACGCATGGTGAACACATGCTTCTGACATAGGCGCTAGGCCTTGGCTTGTTTGTGCTACTCAGGCAGCTACGGCTCTTGTGGACCAAAACGCAGCAGCGCAAAAAACACATCGAGTGTCGCAAACTGCCCCAAGTTTGATCCCTTGCGAGTAGCTCAGTGCTTCACCCCTCGTTCGAACCTGTCAAGGCCGGGACCTGCTAACACCTCCGCAGCCCGGCACTCCGGGACTGCCAATTTTTCGAAGAAGCTCGTGTCGAGGACAAAGCCGGGAGTGGCATCTTAGATGCCGTGATGTTGGGTGTGGCAGATCTTTGCTGCCTGCAGATCTTTGCTGCCTGCTTGTGTGCGTGCAATAAACAAATGCAGCTGCGGGATACCTTGTTCGGCTCCGCTCGTTTTGTGGTTCCTGCTGTCACTGTACCTTCAGGTATACGTCCCACATACATGTACATATATATATATATGTGTATGTACACACGCACACCTACACATACATACATACATACATACATACATACATACATACATACATACATGCATGCATGCATGCATGCATGCAGACACGCATACATACATGCATATACATATATATATATATATGCATATAATGTCGTATCCTGATTAGTCTGGACCCCTCCAATAATGAAAAGTTTTCCAAAAATTTTTCAGGAGACAAAAAATTCGATTGCCCCCCCACAATAAAGTAAAGTTTTTCGGGCATGGGTTTCGGAAGAGAGACAAAAAGAGAACAAGATGATGAAAGAAAAGAGCAAAAGAAGAGCAGCTTCAAGTCGGAGTTCTGAGCTGTCATCTCCAGAGGAAGAGGAGAGGGAAGAGGAGCGAAGAGGAAATGAAGAGGAGCCGGTGGGGGGGGCCCGGGGCCGAAAATTAGTTTGGGGGGGGTCCCTTTTTTTTGGTGACACTATTGCGGGGGTGGATTTAGTTTGGGGGGGGGGGGGGGGGCCCCACACTAATCAGGATACCACATTACAACACACATATTTATGTATACACACGCACATACGCTACGATACAGCATGGTACAGTACACAGCGCACACTGCACGATACACTTGCACACATACACATGCATATTAATATTCACTTGCGTACGCGCACATACACATAGTTCCATTCCATGCCGTTTCGCTTCAGCACACTACCTTACATTACCGTACATCCCCACACATGCAGACAGACAGAGACAGATATGCGTGTATATAGCCCCCTGATCACACATGCACATACATACGTATGTATAATGTATACGTACGTATGCCCTTCTCCTGCTGCCTTGCCGTGGCATCAAGCCCCTACACCACCCAGCCTGCAAGCGCAAGTGTCCTCCACATGGAGTCTTCGAATCGACTATAGAAAAGAAACAAACGGTCATCCTGCTTCACTCGTTTGAACCTTGATGCCAACGCAACTGTTACATGACTCAATAACAATCAGCCTGAGCCATTCAGCTCGGTTTCGAAGATGTAGTAGGCACGCTCACTTGCACGAGCTTCCCACTTACCTCACCTCCTCCACCTACCCCTCCCACCCACCTCTCCACTTACCCATCCCGCTCCCCTCCCCCTGTGGCCCCGCCCGACCGTCTGCTCCACCCCTGACCAATCTTTTGTGTTTGAGACTCCACCCCTGCCTGCCGCCCCCAACTCCCTAATCCGCCACCAACCCTCCCGAACCCTCCCTCCCCATCCCTGCCCTGACCGCTCCCCCCTCTCACCGCTCTCATCGCTGCCCCCTCCCCACCCTCTGCTTACCCATCCTCCTCCCCTGCCACCACTTCCCACTCTGCAACAGAACCCTCTCATCGCTACCCCTCCCCTGTGCCCCCCTCCACCCTGCCTTCCGCCCCCAACTCACTAATCCGCCACCAACGTTACCACTCCTCCTCTGTCCTGTGCCCTCTGTCGCTCTGCTTAATCCTAGACTCCCACGACCATCCCACCCCACGATCTCCCGCTCTCTCTATGTATATATCTATGTGTGTGTGTGTGTGTATGTGTGTGTGTGTGTGTGTGTCTGTCTGTCTGTCTGTCTGTCTGTCTGTCTGTCTGTCTGTCTGTCTGTCTGTCTGTCTGTCTGTCTGTCTGTCTGTCTGTCTGTCTGTCTGTCTGTCTGTCTGTCTATGTCTGTGTGTATATATGTGTGTCTGTGTGTGCGTGTGTGTGCTGTGTGCTCGAAACTTAAACCTAAACCCTGACTGGGCGGCCCGGCGCTTCCGCCGTCATCTCCGCCGCCACGGCGGTGTAGGGTTGCGGGTTTAGGGTTTAGGGCTTAGGGAGTTGCAGGCCTAATCCAAGCCCTACGCCCTGAACCCTGCGGCCTCCTGTCGGGGTTGAGCCGGGCAGAGCGTGCTTCAATTCTTGTGATGGGGTCGGCGGCATTGGCGGTAGCCATTAAATCGGGCAGCGCGAGGTCCCCAAAGGACCGAGCAAATGCGGACCTTTTAGCCCGGGTCGTCCCGGGAATAGCCTTGCTGGCCTCTGGCCTTCTGCGAAGCAGAATTAGGCCGGACGCCAGTGCCGCCGACCCCCGCGTGCCGCCGGTGAGCGGTTTTTTTTTCGTGGTTTTTTGCGTCGACGGAGGCCCCCAGAGGGCGCGCATCATGAGCATCAGCGGGTCCAGCCCGCCCCCAGGCGCGCATCAGGAGCATCAGCGGCTCCCGGGGCGGGACCCCGGGGGCGCATCAGGAGCATGATGCCCCCCAAAGGGCGGGCATAAGCGACGTGTCTAAGTTCGGGGCTAGGAAAAAGGGAGTTTAGGGGCCTTATAAAGTGCTTAGAAACGTTAAGGGAGTCTAGGAGCCTCAAACGCTTAGAGATTTGAAGGGAGTTTAGGGGCCTGAAAATGCTTAGAAACTTAACGCTTAGAGATTTTAAGGGAGTTTAGGGGCCTCAACATGCTTAGAAACTGCTCGCCCCGGGCTTCTGCGTGCGCTGCCCGCCCATGGGCGCAGCCCCTTAAAATATGCTGAGTGTACTTCTTGGTTGCATTGAGGGCCTCAGGCTTCAGGGCCGAATCGGCCCACAGCTTCAACAGCGGCTTTGGACGTGGATTGCTCAGGTCAGTCAAGACAAAAACACGATACTATAATATATTAAATAAAGTTGGCTCACCTGGCCACACCCAGAAACTGGCACAGAGCGCATCCCCGCGAGACAAACCTCCTCCATACCTCTCCGAGCAATTTAGTGTGCCACCCCAGCATCTTCACGACGTCGGAGAATTCTCGGGCCTGAGGGCTGTGAACACTTCTGCCTTTTCTGATGGCACGACTCTCTTTATCCAGCATGTAAGGTCCGACAACGCTCTACGACTCTACAGGAGCACTCTCCCTGTCCCCGCCTTGTCAAAGAATGCTTTGCTCAGGTTCTTGATGGCAGTCAACAGTTCCGAATGCATCAGAATACAAGCGAGCTTCGCGGAAGTGGGGTACCTCAGCACAAGGACACAAGGTCGAGAGACTCCTGCAACGAGATGCACAAAGGCGCATGCTATGAGCAGGCCATCGAAGCAAAGCGGCGAGTCGTTGGTGGACTGGCCTTTGTTGACATCGTCGTTTGGACTGCAGAACTCGTATTGGCCACGCTCCTCGTGACAGTTGATCAAAAGAGCCGATCGATTTTGCACGGCCCTTCTACCATCTCCAACAACAGCTCAGTGAGAAGATTTGGCCCAAGCCCGAACATGCCTGCCCATCCTGCAACCTTTTAACAGCCTTAACACCAACATGCTGAAACCGCCCCTCCACCCCGTCAAAGGCTCCTTCCCGAGCAACTCCAGGGCTCTGTTGGCAATGACCTGTCTTGAGCTGATCTTGGCTTGAAGCTTCCCCAAAGATCAATATGCTGCGACGCCTCGTTGGCGTTCATATTGGTGGACGTTCCGGCTCCACCTGCAAGGAGCGAGAAAAAAAATATCCACCATGTCTGTACCCGGACGAGCACTAGCAGGCACCAGTTGCGGAAGCCTGATCACATGCTGCAAATCCTGGCAAGCCCCGAAGATCTCACACTGCCTTATGAGCGTTCGGTCAGAGGTCGTTGTTTTCCTGAAGGCCGTGCAACCCCAACAAAACCCTGAAGATGAGCCGGCACCCATAGCTGGTCCAGGGACCTTGAATCATGTCCACAAGAAAGTTTTCTCGCATCTCTGTCCCTTTGTTGTCCCCGAGCTCGGTGTCAAAGGGGTCCTTGGGCTGATGGGGTGAACATGCAGCCCAAGTCGCGGGGTGCCGTGGCTTCGTTGGCTCCAAACCTATAGCCAATTATGCCGATAGGCCAAAAGGGCAAGGCATCCAATGCATCAGTGTTAAACAACAATTCTATCCCCAGTTGATCCAAGACACGATCAGCTCCTGACACGCGCGGCAGATTGCCTCCTGCAACTCTATAGATCTGTGTGCACGATGTTTGGGTTCAAAATAACGGCCGCGAGACTTTCATGAAAATGAACAGTACTTCTTCTGGTTCCGATGGGTACCATAAGCGAGGAGCCCATACCAGAATGACAGCTCAGGGAATAATCCCTGTCCTTCTTCGCCATGTCCAGCAATCCCAGCTTGTAATTCGCTTGAGCGCAAGCCTTCCTCCAGGGAATTTTCAAACGCAGTGAGCCAACCTAGAGACGTGCAATAACACGTGCATGGAAAATTGTTCCTTCCTACCTTGAGCCTGTTGAGTGAGTAGCTTTGTGGGTTTTCTCGTCCCAGTCGAGGGACATCTTTCTGAAAAGCATCCCTGGCTCCGCTGGCTTGTTTGATTTGCAGCTCTGGAGGCATTGGTTGCAGGTCGTGCCTCTGTCGCAACCCGTGAGCAAAGTTTACAAAGGGCGATCTGCTGCATGCATTGGAAAGTTTTGAAAGGAACGTCTATGCGTGCTGCTGCCCCTCCTCGCCCCCCCCAACCCGCAAGGCCGCCGAAAACAACATGCGCATGCACGTCATGGAAATGGAAACGTTTGGGTCTCTCATGTTAATCATGAAGAGCAGCTGTCACGAGAATCGGGTGTAGTTCGTTTGAGTCTCCGAGAAGTCCTTCCTTACTTGCTTATGCGTGAGATGGGGGGGTGGGGTGGTGGCGGCATACAACTGCTTCTTCCTACATATGCACATTCCCAAAAGAGGATGCAATCAAAAAAGCAAAAAAAACACTTCTTGCTTTTCAAAACAAAGGCGTCCACTCTCTCACAGGCACACACACACACAATTTCTCTGGGTCGCAGGCTATCGCAACCCTTGAGGCCTCATGTATTTCGTAGAGCTGCTGCATATATGTGTATGACACATTGTACGACAGTGCTTCTCATGTTTAGGGAGCAGAAGTCAAGACGGGTCATTCAAAATCGCTCGGACACGTACTATCCTTCAATCTATTGTCTTAGTCAGGGTTGAGGGGGTTCGTCTAGTGCGTTTGGACTCGCCTTTGTCCTTGCTGGCCTCACCCTTAGGAATGGAAGCTCGAGGATTCTTCGGTTCATGGTGCGATTTCCAACAGACTTCCATGCACTTTTGTCGAACTTCCAACTTCATGCCCTTGCAGGACTGCCAAGATTGCCCTCTGTAGAAATTCGTGTCCTTGACTTCTGATTCCAATTGGGCCAAACCACTTTTGACCACTGCTGCGAGAGTGTCGTGTCGATCGAAGCAACGACGGGTGGAGGTTGTGTTGCAGGCTGGTCGGAACTAGCTGGGTCAGTTTGGGTCAAAAGCCTGGACGAAGTAGAAAATCTTTGCCTTGTTGGCTGTTGGCCTTGCTGTCCTTCTTCGTCGTTTTGATGAGATTCTTCTTGTGTTGGGTAGACGCAGAAGAAGGTGACGGAAAAGGTTGCTATTTCTTAAGAGTCGTGTTTCTGCGAGAAGATCTCCTTGATTATTCAAGATGCTTCGGGCTTGTGCGCAGCGACTGCGTGATAGAATGGAACCATGCGCAGCTTGCAGTACAATTGTGTCACAAACTCTTGCAGCCAACTTGTCACTTGTCCCAACTTGTTTCACGGATAGGCGTCTTCGCTGGCGCCAGTCCAACATGCATCTCTTTCACCCGCCTTCTGAAATGTGACAAATACTATGAGTTTATAATTAGCAGCATCTGGGCTCGGACGTGATCAACCTGACACACACACACATTCACATTTGTATATATATGTACATATACATATATATCTGTATATATATATATATATATATATATATCATTGTTCTTGTACACATGAGCACAGCGAAACCAATCAACAACACACCCACGGGGACACATGCACGCGTGCGTGCACACACAACCAACCAACCCACCAACCCACCCACCCACCAACCCACAAATGCAAGACAAGGGTTCACTATGTTGTGGATCCGGGGGACTCGTGCCTGGAATCATTTGTGTTTTGGGTTGCGGTTGTTGTGTTGGGTAAACTCGGATCTTCCGAGGAAGGAGTCTACGCGATTAGAAAATGAGCGCAGTTGTTGATGTTGACCGTTTAGCTCATATGCCATTTCTGACATCCATGCAGTCCGATATCCATGTCTGAAATTCCAAGCACCCATTCACTTGAGCGGATATGTTATAGACATAGAGAAAGCAAGTCGTAGTGCTGGCGTTGGTGTTGTTGAAAGGCATTGCCCCAACGCAGCAATGTTGTAAATTCGTATGCCGGCACCGCTCAGATGCAAAGAAGCCAAGAAGCGACCCCCTGAGCTTCCCCGACTAAGCAGAGTGTCAAGACGCACTAGCCTCGTCCCTGAATTTGAACCCCAGCCCCGTCTTTACCATGGCGAAGGCGACGATGAACTCTGGGAAGTTCCGCAGCCGGATGCCTGTGATGTTGTAGCACTCCTGGGCAATTGTGTGCAATTTTCCCCACCTGTCATGCAAGAAGCCTTGAAGTTTCTTCTCGGCCTAGGCTTGCGGCTTTGGCTTCAACGGTCTTGAATGCATCCCCTGGTGATAAAATCTCACATGCGCTCAATTCCAAGAGTAGTCAAGAAGTAAGGGTGCTAGTGCTAGACAATGCTACTAGTAGATCCAGCCAACCATCTTTTCATGTCATTGTGGGACGACTGCAGCGAGGATCACACTACCAACGAGATGCGACGACCTAAATTTGCCATGGCAACAAAAACTCAGAAGAGCATTCCTCCCTCGGATCTAAGATTGCTGTCACGCCCTGCACCGTGTACAAGCAAACCTCTGAAGCAGGAGGAGATCCAATGCACGAAGCGTTTGGACACCTTGGCTTGGGCAAAAAGGAGAGCAATGCATCCTGCTACTTATCTGCTATTGCTCTTGGAGACGACCTGAAGCACACGGGCATGCACGGATCATTAGGCGGTCATGCTGCAGGTACTGGCCTACATGGATGCCTAAACGCTCGGACTCATTGTGCAAGGTTGTGCTGCCGAGCTTGGGGGGGGGGGGGTTTCAGAGCGCGTGCCGAGCCACCGTAGTAGGCACTTTTGGGGACCTCCTTGGTGCCCAGAAGATCCTGCGCACAATCTGCGGATGGAGTTTAGAAGGCTTTCGAGAAGATGACGCAAGCTTCTGCCCGACGCTAACCAGGCTTCGCTTGCAAGTGATTGTCTTTCACTGTACCTCCCTCAGAACCTACCGCCTGTCTAACCGAGCTGTCTGAGCTTTCCAAGGCTTGGCGCTTGTTTGACTGCAAGGAGCGGATTCAGGGGTCTGCGGTGCTTTTCTAGGTCGTGGCGGCCGCTAAGGTTGTTGAAGTGGTAGTTGCAGGTAGTCGAGACGCTGCCAACACCCCTATCAGCCTGCATGGTCTTCTTTGCAGCCTTGTGCAAGTCACCCTGCTCCGCTTATCAACGCTACCCAGCCCTTGTTCCCAGCCCAAACCGAAGTACCCAGACAGGAGAAGCAAAGCTACTGCGACCCTTCTGACATCCACGGGGAATAGCTTGAACATCTTCACACTGTACTGTCGCCCCCATACCCTACAAGCTTCAAAATCAATTTCTCATGGTGGCCTTCTCAGTGCGCATGCCCCCGGTCATGTTGACTACACCTTTGCGCAGGCATTGCCATGTTTCAAGTAAAATACAGCGGAAGGAGAGGCATACACAGTGTGCGCACTGACATGTAGCGACAATGAAGTAATGTACTGTACCTCACCTTCAACTAGGGCCTTCAACAGGTGCAGCCTCTTCCCATGAGCGGTGCTTGCTGGATGTTAGGCTTGTAGAGGTTTGGGAAGCTTTGGCCATGGCTCTATTGAATCCATTCCTTAATGTCTCCATACGGACATGCGAGCCAATAGCAGCTACTTGAGGGCCGGAGGCAGGGAGGACGAAAGCTCGGGGGCAGGAAGCAAGAGCAAAGTTGCATGAGAAAGTGTGGGCAGGGACCTGTTGGAGGCATGCTTGAGTTGAGGGGGCAGAGTCTTCGGGCGGCGACGCATTTTGTGCTGTCAGGTCTTGACGTAAAAACGCCCCCCCCTTCAGGTATTGGTGTATCAATTTACCCCCCCCCCCCTCCAAAACCAAGGAATTCGTGTGATGTATCAATTTACGTGTGATATATCAATTTTACCCCCCCCCCCCCCCCCCCCCCCAACAAGATAGTATCAATAATACGCTGTTTTCTGGCCGTGGTCGGCCCCCTACTGCTAAAGCAGATAAAACTCCAGCTCCGCTACGCGAGCTTTCGTGATCACCGCAAAATTATCCACATCCACCAAAGACTGTACCTGAGAGGAAGCCCGCACATGAAAGGATCTACACGACACGCAGTGCACCCGCACAACAGATGCCGTCCGAGGAGCTTGGCATCTGCAACAAGGGTGCGAAGGCATCGTCGAAGCTGCCTCGTCGAGCTCGCATTGCGAAGGCAGATGGCTTCCCAACAGGGGAAGGCAAAACGACCGTTGCTTTCGCACCAAGAAATGGGCCAAGGAACGTTGCAACTTTTGGCACGGTTGGGCCTGATGTTTCAATTGGTAGCTCGTGAGTCAGCCTGATCCAGAAAGGCGGCGGCCAAAGCTTTCAGGACTGCGGCTTGCTAGTTTCACCGACATCACCGACAGCATATCAAAAGCCATGCCAAAACCAAGAACCCCGCACACATATACGCACACGCACGCATGCACGCGCGCACGCACACTCCAAGCGAGCCAAAAATCGCAACCCAAGACCTGTGTCCTCCTTCAAATCTCTCACTCTCGGTAGCCCTCGCTCCTGAGCAAGCTCCAGACCCTACCAGTTGCATACTTTACGCGGCAACCCTGGGCACGGGCGCACTCAAGCCACCATCATCCTCTGGGTGGGAGCCGAAGAGGCGGCCGGCTGTGTAGGGGACCTGTTGAAGTGCTGCTTTGGTGACTTTAGACTCCCACTCACCTCCGGTGCAGAGATTCCGCCAAGTCGATCGTTCCCTCAATTGCGCTTTTATTCGAAGAGCTGCTTGAGGCACAGCGTCAATTTGCAGGTGTATTCCACTCGACAAGGTGGCCATGATCGAGCCATGTGGGGCTGACAGGCTCATGGTATGCACATACACCGAAGCCTGCAGTCTAAGTCTAAGCAGCTCCAACCTCAATCCTCAACGGACCTGTGAATTAGATTGGAAGCCGGCCACCTGGCAGTTAAAGATGAGCACGCGTGGCACCGCCCAAGCAGTGCTCCACCTGAGCACTTCTTTGCCAGGGCCACGGGATTTTGGGGGAGGCGGGGTCAGGAGATGTCCAAATGGCTTGGCTTATCCTCTTTATCCTTCTATACACTGATGAACGCTCCACATCGCTCCACTGGAGGGTATCGCCGAGGATGCCCCAAAGAGCATCTTGCACACGGAACAAGCGAAATGGCATAGTATTGCTGTTCTGAGCAGAATGTTCTCAAGTGTCATGGAGCCCGTACTGAAGTCGAAGGCATGGGTGACAGTAGTACTGTTGTAGTCGAAGGCCAGGGATCTCCAGGTCACACTTCATCTCCAGAGTTCGACGTTCAAGGCTCACCGAAGGGCCTCTACTGCTCACCATCCTAAACTACTGAAGCTTCTTAGCCTCGTACTGGCCCTCTTGGGTACCGCGCTGCACCGCACCGGGCAGGTCCGATGGCAATGTCCCCTCTTTCAAGCGATCCAAGATACCTGCTCGGGTGTGTTTGTGGGGGGTTGAAGTACTTACAGTACATGTCCCCATGTCCCCGAGCTTGTCTCGACAGCTCCTCTCTTATCCTTCGGAGCAAAGCTTTTCAAGGCACCTTCGGGTTCAGGCTCCGCCCCCTTCGAGAGACAGAGAGGTCTACGAGTTGCCGTCCATTCAGACCACGACAGATAAAGGAACAAACTTCTTCCGGATGACGGGGCTTGGGTGTGACAAGAGACGTGACAGATGGTGGAAGGCAAGACAAAAAACCATGAATCACGCCATATCAAACTCACACCCGTCCCTAAACCTAAGAAAAGAAGCGAAAGCCCTTGGAATGCCCGATCGATAATCAAGGTGTTCTCAGGGCTCGAAGACACCAACATTCGAGTGCCAGTAAGTCGAGCGGCAGTCTATTCTCTTGTGGTCTCGCCTTGGTCATGGGGACTTGAAGGGGCGGGGAGGAGTGGGTCCTTGTTCAAACGTATCTTTGCACTTCATTGCTGTTCGAGCAGGTTGAAAAGGCTTGTTTCATGCTTTAGGGCTCTTCATGCTTTCGGAAGTCTGTAGAATCACAAGGGCAAGGTCAGTCCACTTCCGTAACACAAACAAAGGTGACGTGATCCATCCTCCCTGCAGCATCGGCCCTGAAGCAGGTGCTCAGGAAGAGCCAGGCCACACGATGTCCATCCCCACACACTGGTACAAAGCTGGTTGAGAAGCCACCTGAGGACAAATGGGTGGCCGGACTATTTTGGGGTATGTAGGCTCAAGGAATTCGGCTCTCACGCTGACACAAGGCAGGCAATGGGACGCGCGAGGGAAGATAAGACGCGACACACTTCGAAGAGTCAAGAAGTCATCAACAGCAGGGGTGCCAAGACTAGTTGCGGTGCGATGCCTGCCTTCTCACGTGTTTGCTTGTAGCCGACACTGCGCACCTGCAGAGACATCAAGGGCTGGGATGTGGGGCTCTGGCAGTTTCCAGTTTAGAATTGCAACATGTTGCAACTGGAACGGTATTTACGAAGCTGAGAAAGTCATCAGCCCATCCAGTGCCAGCTTTGAATGTACTTGCCCTAGCATGTCATATCACTGATGAAAGGGGCTCCTCCCCAGTTTTCGAGCATGCCCCGGCACTCATTCAGCACTCCCCTGATGAACAGAGATGCAGCTTCGAGGCATCGAAAACGCAGGCATCGCATTGGAGCCAGTACGGTTGAACCTCAGATGCTTCGGCCGTCCACTTCATTTGCAAAACCTCAAAATCGAAAAATCCCTATGCCCCAAACTTGCCATTGGGCTACTCTTTGCCCGCGAAGAGCATGTGTAAACGTGTTGCATGAAAGGGACAGCGCCGTCGGGCAGCTGGGCGAAGGCTGTATCTGCCAAACCTGAGAGGATTCCACTTTTGGGCAGGTTCCATTCAGTGACCTGTGACAGTCGGCCATCCATCTTTTCGGGCCCTCACGCAGCAGACATAGAACTTAGTGCGAGCCTGACTTCGGGTCAAAGGAATCACCCAGCCCGAAACTAACTACCCACACTGATATCTTAGACAGCAGCTGGTGTGCGCTGCGGAAGCAGGATGCAGGTACTCATGTGCAGCCATGCGCCGCTGCTTCATAAACATAGGAACATGCCGCTTATGTTGGCTGATGTCAAAGGAGAT